CATTCTCCATCTCAATATCAACATCGATTGACTCGGCCATGATTCTGTTCTGAAATATATCAGTTCATTTACAAATTAATCGTAGCAAAAGAGGTTGCAAAGCCACATTCTTACGAGAGGGCTCACCTAAGACACACGAACAGTGAATACATAAAATAAGATCAACATCTAAAAAACTTTAAAAATCATAACTTTTCAAAAATATCAATTAAATCATAAAGTGAACGGCTTCAAATTAGGAAACAAGAGCATTCGCGTTCATCTATTCTGATAATTCTGTATTCCTTCGACCTGGTAGAATTTTCGTCAATTTTATGTCGTTAGCAATAGAGCGCGCTTCTGCACTGACGTCAACGACTGTTCAAGTTCAACTTCATTTATGGAAATTTCGAACAATAACAATAACAATCTAACAATAATAAATAAACAGATAAAAATGAGTATGATTATAATTTTCTTTCGAACTCAAATGCATCACTCAAGAAGTCTTCCATAGCAGCTCTAGAAGTCAATTCGTTGAACACGCGTCTCTGAGCTGGAGAAAATTGATGTCTAGTCATATAGATGAGATGTTGATGGAAGAGTTGCGTTGTGAGACCATACTTCGAAGATATATCAACCTGAAAAGCGAATAAGTATCAAACGAATCGAAACTCACAAAATCGGAAATACACTCAGACGGCGTGTATTCGTATCCTGCGAAAAAAGCGGGATTGTATAGAAGTCCATTAGCAGACATTAAGCCTGGAAGTAGTTAAAAGATAATAATGAGTTTAGAAACTGGAAAAGATACCATTCACACCAGTCCGAGCAGCGATATCGAGAGCCTGGCTAAGAGAAGTGATATCCCCATTTGCGATGATTGGAACTTGCACAGATTCCTGTAAAACGAGCGAATTAAAGGAAAAAAATTGTTAAGAACCTTAATTAATCGTATGGCATCATAGTCTACAGGTTCTGCTCGTTGCTGGGGTGTTCTTCCGTGTACAGTCAAATGACTAACGCCTGCTTTTTCTGCCTTTCCATATTTATAAAACACATTTTCCAAAGTATACACACTTACTTTTCTACATAAATCAATTGTTCTATCCAGAGGATACTGTACTCGTATTTTAAGAGAAATCTACATTTCAGCTCATATTTGAAGGTTTGAATAACTAATTACGTACTGTGTATTCTGAATCATTAACAGCAGCTCTTGTTTGACGAACCATATCAGCTAACAGTTCAGGTTTATTTAACAAAAAGCTTCCGAAGCCTTTAGCTCTGACATCTCCTTTTGGACAACCACAATTCAAATCAACTCCGGTGGAATATCTCAAGAAGCCGTTGTCGGAAGCGAAAATCAGGTTTGCTTACTTGTAAACTACTTGCGCTGCTGAAGCAAAAACGAAAGGATCGTCAGAAGCAAATTGGACTATAAGAGGCTTGTCATCTGAATCATTTGATTTCAAATTAGGAGATGTGTAACATTTTCTAGAAGTGTTTCATGTTTTGCGCATGTAATGGATGCAACCGCTTAGTGCTACGTTCAAGACAAGAATGAGTTTGAATTGAATGGCCCATTCAAAACACTAGACTTTCATGGTTTTCAAATGAGAAAATGATTTAGCATTAAAGTATTGTACGATAACAAAGAGTGAAAGACTTCGACGGATGCTTACTCACTTGGAACAGTAGTGAATTCACTTTTTCGACAATATTCTGATTCCAGGAAATTCTTAGCATATATCATAGGAGTATAACAACAATCAACGTCATACTTCCGAACTAATTCACGAAAAGGAAGTCTGAATTTAATAAATGAAAAGCGAAATCCTTTCATTCTTAACAACTTACTTTGAATATCGCACCATAGGTGCCAAGTAAAACAAGGGCCTATCCTTAATCTCCTCAATTAACTTAGTTTCACAGTTCGGACTTTCATCCATCGTTAATCAAATTTGCGTTAATAGCCTGAAGCAACTCAAAGTATGAAAGTTTAAATAGCTACTGTAACGACTGTTTTATTTTTGCGTACTTCACGTATTTAGTTTTAACTTTTAATCAAAGTTTTTTGTGATAATCGTAGGTGTTATCAACTTTTTTTTCCAAAAGCGAAGCTCAAACAAGTAATATGTGAAGATGTGAATGATATGCCAATTAAGCATGTGTCTTCTAGTGAATTTCGAAATTGTTTCGTTCTTCTGTTGTTACGTCACTATCTTCTTCTTGATGTTTCGTAAACCAAACTTCGCTAGAATTCGAACATCTACGATGGACATTTACGCTGTTTTCATCATATTAGCCGACAATTCGAACTACTGACATCTCGGTTGTTGTAATCTTTTCATCTTCATCTAATGTCCATCGGGTCTGGCTTCTGTAGGTGCATAAAACGTCTTTTCTTTGAGAATCCTGTTCGAATCCTAATGCAATCGATCGTGGATTCTGGACTATTTCTGTCTCGTTTATAGAAGTTTGCTAGATATTTCTAACGGAATTCAACGTCTGAACTTTTCCCCTCTTACCCATGTGATGACAAATTCAAACATTCTCAAAAATAATTGGCACTTTTTGTTTTTCCTTCTCATTTCATCACAAATAAAAGACCACCTTCTTGAAGATGCACAGTTTTTCTAACCAGCCTTAGTGTATAGTGATGTCTTTCTTTCACCATGACCCCGAATTTGGGCAAATGTGACGTTGTCTTACCTTTAATCGATTTCTGTTAACTCTTTTAGTTGTACCATATGATGATCTTACTAGTTCTTGATAGCATGATTGAGAGTTTCGGATTTCTTCACTTCCTTATCCAGTTTCTCAACTTTCTTCACTTACTACGTGTATATTTTGTAATTCATGACCTTTTTTCTTGTGAAGTTTAATCATCCACGTCGTTTTACTGGACAAAACACCGAAATGTCAAATGCTACCCCGGTGGGATTGGAGAACTTACATGTTTCAGTTCTCTCAATTGATGACGAGCTCCTACGTAATCGTTACGTCTTTGCAACTCTTTTTCCCACACTTTGAAAAGTCTTAGTACGTGTCGTGTTCGTAGCCGATATCTGTAGCTGTTCTAGAAGATTTTGCTACACGTGTCTCTTGTGTATAAGCGACCCTTTTTATATTCAGTTTCCATACGCAGTTTGGCTCTAATTCAGAAGCGGGTTTCGTTCATCCAATCACAGTTAGCTGACAACGAAAGAAACGAACGAAACGAGAGAGTCAGGGAGAGTAGAAGAAAGAAAGACAAGTAGGGGTCAACTTCGTGAAAAATGAATGCGCAACCGCGCTACTTACAACCTTATAACCACCTTTGCATTTTCCGAATCGATCGTGGATCTTTCCATAACCGGAATGCCTAGGATTTGTCCGTGCATATATATGAGTTTCGTTCCCCTCACCCTTCCTTGTATTCAGATTTATAGCGTCCTCCTATCATAAATTGCTGTTGTATAACGTTTTTTTCAAACATTTCGAGACATGACAACTAGTTCTCCATATCACTTGGGCAATCAGCTCGACTATTACTCAATACACTTGTCCATCCTAGAAAGGACTTTAGTGTGTCAAGACTAGACTGAAATTTAAGAAAATATTTTTTTTACCTGAAATTTTTCATTTTCTATCTTATCTCATCCATTTACTCACCAGCATACTTTGATTGTTCAAACTTTAACGATCAGTGTGAATCCTTATCAGTGTTGTCATGTGTCATATTTGTATATTTTTAGAAATATAACAGAACACTTTCCTGAAAACTGAGCTCTCAGAGCATATTCTTATCTTTTTATTGTTCTTTCCGGATATTTTTTTTTAATTTTGAAACTTGGTTTTCGTGTGCTTTACTCGCGTCTTCAAACAATACAAATCTCGTGATCTTCAGTCGATTCTTATAGTTTGGCTTTTAGATTAATGAAGAGAACGTTCATATTCCGTTTGATAGAATGCTAATACTCAGAATATTAATTACAATTTGTTTGTTTCATCGTCCATTATCAGTTTCTGGATCCTCAATCGAACACAGGGTATCCCATATATCGTTTTACCTATTACTTATGTATTTTCTTAGTGGGTATCTTGGGATGGAACAGGAGATTCCCTCGAGGACTTACCTGTATTACATACAGCATTCGTCCAAACAGGTCCGTTTTTTTCTGAAAAACCATTCTGTGTTCTAAACGTTAGAGTTACCAAATTCAAATTATTCTAGGCGAAGAACTTCACTACTTCAGTGAATCTAAACGATACGATGCCGATATTTTTGTTGGCCATCGTTCTCATGACTCTGATCCCGGACAATCTCAGTGAGTTCTGAAAGGGTTGATGTCTATATCAAATCGTTCCCTTGCAGCTATAAAGATCGGGTCTTTAATGTGAGAAAAATGGCTGGAGAGGATTCTCTGCCATTAGAGTTTGATCCGCCATTCTTATTTTTCGGAGAAAGGTTAGTATTATAAGAGATCCTTTTATTCACATCTGAATGATAGTGCCGTTGGAGTACCTTTGCGAAGACGTGTATATCTTCGGAGTAAACTGAACACACTTGTTATGCTTGACACCGTGATAGGAGAAACAGTAAACTTTCATGCAGGGTTCTTCGATGTTATGGCACGTTTTCTTTCCTCTTTCTCACCTCATTCTCTTTTGTGGTTCAGGAACTTGAACCGTTGGGATCAACATCATTTGAAATAGCATTTTTACCTCGAGAAGAGGGCAAAATCACGGCAACTTTAGGAATTCACACATCGATCGGACAGTTTCTATATGAAATAAGTGGCTACGCTTCTTCGAATCCCTACAGGATAACACCTTTTGTGGGACATCGCATCCCCATGAATGGCACAATGGTTAAAGAAATCACACTGCACAATCCTCATCCTCAGACTTTTCGTATTAAAGAAGTAATTATGACCCATACCTTTCCGAAAATTTGTTTTTTTCTTCAGCTTGTGTCCTCAGGAGGTCATGTGCATGCAGAACTAGCATATGATATCGATCCTGCAGTAGCCGGTGAACCAGTACAGTATTGGGTGAGAGGAAAATTTTCCGAATCATAATAACTGCAACTGTTAAGGATATTCGCCCATACCAAACCAAAACAATAGGAAAAGCATTTGTAGTAGGACATTTACTGGAGAACAATACGGTTTTTGTAAGAGTCAATGGAGTTTTACTTAATCACAAAGGGTAATCTGAGGCAAAACTACTTCAGAAACTGATTCTCACATTTTAGTGTTGAAACTAAGACGAATGAGTTGATATTTCCAATACCATACGAGGTAACAAAGACAAAAGGTGTTTTCACAACTAAGGATATTCTCGATTTTGGCCTTCTGAAGTACGTTGTCTCGTGAAAATTTCTCGTTCATACGATTTGCTTGTAGACAAGGGGTGCGATCACAGCCACAGTTCTTCTCGGTTTATCAGTATCGCTTAGATGGGAGGCTGGAGTTTGAAGTTTGCTAATGCCTAATTCGACTTTTCATAAAACTGCTTTTCTCCAGACCTTATACGTTGAGAAGGGTGATGCAACCGGCATTTACATGGAGTTTGCTTCGAATCCTCCAATTGCTGTCCACCCTGGGAAGTATCCAATCGAACCAGGTTGGGCTATTACCTGTTCTAATCACAATTGAGCTCTTTAGGAAAACCGGTTAACTTAGTGAAAGTGCTTTTCGATGCCTCGCGAATAACGTTCGAGACGAAAGAACCTAAAGTTAAAAGTTTCACTGGTAGAATCATAGCAGTGAGTAGAGGGGGTAACTATAACGTCACCATTCCATTTAGAGCTGCAGTTTTTCAAGGGTTAGTCTATTAAGTGGAGCAGTGAGCAAATTTTGAATAATTTCAGAAGTCTAACTGCAGTAGGCAATGATTTAGCTATTCGAGAAGACGTCAAACCACCATATAAGAGAGGAATCCGATTGAGAAACGAATTGCCATTTGCTGTCGCTGTTTGGAATGTGTCGTTATCAGCTGATGCTCTACCATACTTCACTGTAATTGGGAAACCTGTTCAAGTCTATTTTTTTTATTTCAGGTGAGACTGTTTGATAGTACCACTGTGATTCCAAGAGGAGAAGAGAGATCAGTTTTCCTATTGAAATACAATAAGAAAATACCAGCTGATTTTGGTGTATCGTTTATATATATCGAGACTAATGTTACTAGGTTCTCAGTCCAACTACAACGATATGAAGGGAAAATAAAGGTTTGCATAGTGCAACTGAAAGTAGTGAAACGGCATATTCAGGTTGATCTGTTTTCAATAGAGCAGGATGCTTTTGACTTTGGACTGATCTCACGTAATGATACAAGAACTGTTAGGGTAACCATATCATATATTAGCGTTCTATTCTCATTATGCTCTCTTCAGTTTGCCATTCGCAATCCTAACTGTGCTACAACTACCGTTCGTAATTTACAAGTTCCAAATTTATCAATATTCCGACTTTACTTTGTTGCAATGCTTCCTCTCAATTCACAAGGTCAACAGCTTCCTTCCATCAGTCATCAAGAATGGGATCAGGTAAATATCTTTTGATAGAATTCCACGGATGAAATCTTTAAGGGTAACGATCTCGAAATTCCTCCCGATCAATCTGTTCTTTTCGATTTGGAGCTAAGAGCACCTTTCGATGGGGTAGAGCATAAAGGAAATATAGTTATATCAACTGATTTGGAAAGTAAAGTTTTCCCAACTGTATACGAGATTGGAGAAGGGAAAATTTCAACGTTCCCAGATGTCTTAAGCTTTGGTGCCACTCATCCTGGACGAGTAGTGTATAGGACGATACAAGTACTGAACTATTCTTTAGTCGTTAACATATTAGTTTTTCTCACAGGTTTTCAATTCGTTCACGGAAGACATGAATGTTACAAGATTATCAACGTTATCGAACGATCCGAACGTATTCTTCGAAACTTTAGATGCTACAAATCCACCTTTGTTACGTTCCGGTAGACTGACAAACTTAGGTAATCCTCATCAGCATGCTCAGCATAGCTAATTCTTAAGGTCGTGTAATGTACAAACCTGAAGCCCCGTGTACTGAAGCCACTTGTTATTTGGGATTGGATTTGAAAACCACAGGCAAGTTGAACAGTTACAGAGCATGGTCACTCGCGCTTCACGTGAGCTGATGTGCTCTTCTCCCAATTTTCTTTTCCCTGCGAGGCGCATTTGTTCTCTATCGCTCGCGAAATTGTTCTCATTGTTTCTCTTTTCAGATGGTCAATGGTTCGTTCATGGCTTAACATTACCAGCCAACTTAGCAGAAGTGGATAGTTATTTATATAAGAAACAGAGAGGAAAGTTTGATAGCTTAGTTAAAGAAGGCAAAAACATGATAAACACAACCATTGTAATCGATACAGATAAGGCTAAGAATATCAAGGTAACTAGAGCTTACTCGACTTCCTACAAGTTCCTTCTTCAGATTGCCGCCACTGCAGAAATGGTTTGGCCTAGGTTATTAACCAGAAATTCTGTTCATTTCCCTCTCACTGCATTAGGAAACTTCACTGTGAGTTATTGAAAACAACATATGAGTATATGTTCTTATAGATTGTGAATCTAACCTTAGCAAATCCTTCTTCACTTCCAATAGCCGTTCAAGTTATTCCGCTAGTCATATATCCGGATGCTGAAGCAGCCGTTGAATTTTTCAAAGATCACCTTCTCACTCCATTGACTTCCAATGTGAGTTGATATTGACGGTTTTTTTTTTTGAAATACCACTGTTATAGATAGAAATGAATGAAACATTAATGTTTTCACTCCGTGATACCGAACTGTTTACATTGAAAAAGGATAGTCCTGTTCCAAAACTGAGAGAAGAGTTAGAAGCTATTGTAAGCCAGAACGTTCCGAGGTTTGTATTCCGTTTCATTCATTTTATTCTTCTCTTTATAGGTTCACATTGTCATTGTTGCTGAAGCCCCATCAGAAAGTTCGTCTTCGTTTAGGATTTTTACCCACCGACTATGTTCTACGTTCATCTCTACTGTTAATAAGGTTTGTTCACTTTAGCAGCATCTCACTGTATTTATTTTTAGGAATAATTTGACGGTGATTGAACCTGTCGTACTTTATGGTAGAGGTGCCCGTATAGATATGAAGATAGAAGATATCGAGGCGCGCTCGAAAAAACCGTTGTTATTCGAAATTCGTCACGATCATTTAAGTGATTGCAATAATCCAAAAAGTTTGCGCTATCTCATTTACTTCGATCACCATCTTTTCAATTGTAGGATTAATGCATAAGCTCAGTTCAACTTTAACTGTACGACGTCCATTTTCCGTGTCAAACACAGGCGAAGTACCGTTCACTGTTGTTAGTATGAGTATAAATGGAATACCATGTGAAAACCGTGGTTTCCGTATTCTTAACTGTTATCCTTTCCGTTTACAACCTAATGAGTCGTATGCTCTGGAAGTAGCGTGAGTTGTCTTCATTCTATTTCATATTTCATTTCACCGCTTCAGATATACCCCCGACTTTTTAACAACAACAAATGAAGCTGATTTACAACTTTACATGCATATGAATGGAAGTTCCTGGTCATTCCCATTAGCTGCTACAGTTCCTAGTGATATGATGGCTCGTTGTCATCGTGCTCTTCCACGTCCACCGTTTGAGAACCTCATGTATTACAGCTGCGTGATTGCTCTAATGTAAGCTTATGAAAGATGTGATTGTCATATATACCTAACTTCAGATTCTGCTTGGTCTGTGTGCTGGCTTGCGCCTATTTAGAAGGTGATCGAGCGATTACTTGCGCTATAAGAGAGCAGTACAACCGTGTTTTCTTTGATTTGAGAGGGGAGAAGAGACCAAGCACTCCAGTTAATAAACCTATAGGTGAGGAACTTGTCGAATCGACATGACATGTTGAACTGTTTCATTTAGATGTTTACGCGTATGCATATCCTTCTCAAATCATTCCCGCTGAAGATGCTTCAGTAATTACTCAGTTCTTCTTTTCTATCGCTAATTTCGTAGTTAGATGTTTGCATTTCATCAAAAAATCCGTTTTATCTCTTCGTTTGGATTACTCACAACGATCAGTTTTGGTATGTTCATAACTTCAACAAGTTGTTTATTACGTTTTCTGCAGAAAGAGTTCGAACTATCGAGAAAGCAGTATTTGAAGAACATGCGGAAGAAGAAAACTCCTGAAAACACAGCTGCAAATCAAGCGAATAAGGAGAAGGTGAAAGAAAAGAAAGGTTTGATATCAGGTTCTCCTCGTAGTTTTCTTTCTTGACTTTCAGAACCAGTCAAGCCAGCCAAAGCTCCAGAAGTACCTCCGAAGAAGACGCAAAACAATAATAAAATTCCGTAAGAGTTGATTTGTGTTTCGTTTATTACTCCAGTTACTATAGATCTAAGCCTCGTCCTCCTACTCCTCCAACACCGAAGGCAACATTGGTTAACAAGTTGTCTTACACTAAGGATCCGCTGAAAGAGAAAGAACAACAGAGGAAGAAAAGTAATGCGAGCTCTGATCAAGAAAAGAAAATTCAAAAAGCTGAGCAACTTATGGATGGTTCAAAGGGACCAGAGAGGAAAAATGAGAAGCAGAATAATAAGAAGCAAAACCAGAAAAGTGAGTTGAGAGGCAGAATTTATATATATATTTTTTCCTTTAAGATCGAGCACCACAGCAGAAAGTCAAGCCTACGCAAGAATCGCATGATAGTTCAGAAACTATCGACGAACGTTTCAATCCTAGAACATTCACAGTTCCGGATTATAATGAGCTTTTGTCGTTGCATCTGGACCCACCTACACCCCCTGGGTCAACATCGGATATATTCAACGTTCCGGTGCGGCTTTGACAACTTTTTTAAAATATTTATGTTTCTTTAGAATCCTTCTCCTTCTGTCAGCATAGACCGGGACCAACTCTCTATGCGATCATCTAATGTGGTAGGACAAAGAATTCGAAGCCCAAGTGAAGGAGAAATGAGTATTGCCAGCGAGTTTAGCGAAGCACCTGTCTGGATGGACGAGAAATTCGACATCTGTAATATCGCTAGAGGAAATAATCGTATTGAAAAACTCTATTTTCAGCCAACGTCGACGAAGATTTCAGTGCATTTGGAGCAGGCTCTGATTTGCTTCAAACCAGTGGTTCCGAAACGGGTGATAGGGGAGGAAATGAAGATCGTAAGAAAAAAAGAAAGAAGAAAACTAGCAAAGAGAGGTCTGCTCCTATCGAGCCGATTGAGAGTTCTCCAGATCCCATGGGCTATGTATGTTTCGAATATATAGAAATCCTTCAAACAATTTTTGTAGCCTGACCTAGCTGAGACTGAAATTGATCCACAACTCATGCAACAGTTCTATTCAGACCTGATGGGTATATATAGCGAAATGTTACCTGCGAACACACCCACCGTGAGTTATCATTAGTTCAGAGTGTATAAAATTGATCATTCTTTCCAGAACACTACGATGCCTGATATGTGGAGTTTAGATCCTGGTTCAAGTTCGTGGACCCCCCCAGAGACGAATTGGATGGATCTGACTAATTTCATGACTTCGCCCATATCCACTGCACCAATAACGAATACCACACGAACAGACCCTCTCACACCGGCAGCTCCTCTTCCTGCGTCCACCGCCACGACTTCTAGTACACCGATTACGGAAACAGCTTATAATCCTATGACGTGGGAGGCACCTGGTGCAAACCCGTTTTTGAGCAACACTATGTTCGGAAGTGAGTTCCAAGTCTGGTCCTCTAGTTCCAACAATGCACCACCAAGCTCAGCGGGTTGGGGTGGATACAAAAGAGATGAAGAAGACGAAGATGATCATGAGGAAGAATCCAAATGATGAACAAAGAATGATTGTTGAATTGTGCTTTTGAGTATCTCGTACCGACGCTTTCTGGTTCTGCCTCTTAAGGCTAATCTTGTGATTCAGACAGTTTTGTTCAAAGTTACACGGTTGTATCTCACCATAGTTTTATTCATTTGAGAAGAATTATGTTGTTTAAAAGAGGTATTCCATCAACTCGCTTATTTTTCTCGTTACCCTCCATTAGTGAAGATGACAAGAACATGGCTTCCAAAGTCGTGAATGAATCTGAAAACTCAGTACGCATCCTTGATCGCAAATGAATGTTTTCTATACTGTGACTGTTTTAAAACTGAGATAACTTCATGAGAAAAATTCACACTAACCCTGAAATCTATCAAGTACATTGAACATAGAACCACAAATTATCAACAACATACTGACTAGGATATCGGCATCTTGTTTGAGCTGTAGAGATTAAGAACTGCTAACAGGTAAGTCTGTGCAGCACCGCAGTTGTTTACTTTGCCCGGCGAAAACGTACGCATAAGCCTTACGTTGAACGCTGGCGCTATAGTTGGCCGGGCTCGGCTCGGCCCGACGAGCTATAGAGACAAGCTCGAGCCGAGCCCAGGCTCGAGCTCTTGTTTGTCACTCGAGCCCAGGCTCGAGCTCGGCTCGAGGTTGTATTTGTCACTCGAGCCCAGGCTCGAGCTCTTGACTCAAAAGATTTTGAAATTATTCGAGCTCTTCATTTTAAAAGATTTCGTAAATTTTCTTGATATTCAAATCATTCTAGGTATTCCAATTATTTGAGGATGGAAAATATTCATTTGAAATTGTATTGAAGTTAATTATGCAAATTGAAAAATGCTAAACGGAAATTGAACATGAAACGTTGTATTTAAATTTTATCGGAAACAATAAAGATATGCTAATCTTCTAATCTGTACAATATTTCGAAAGATGAAAAGCAATGAATAACAATCGAAACACATAACAATCATCATTTACTGCTCTTGAAGAAGATGTCGAAGAAATCGTTCGTCTGGGATCACTTTGACAAAGAAGAAAAGACAGTAAAATGCCGAATTTGCTGTTTGAAAATGAAACTGCCGAAGTCATCGAACACTTCGACGATGAGGAGACATCTAAAAACGCATTCGATGTATGAGGCTGTTTCCGAGAGCCACAGCCAACCGAGCGTCCAGGATTTCTTTCCTAGTACCGCTAAAAGCCAAGATGAAAGCGAAAAGAAATCGGCAAACCTTTTTGCTGTGGCTGCTCCACCTTATCGCTTAGTGGAAAGCTCTTTGTTCTGGGATTTCGTTCGCTCATGTCCGAATGATTTCAAATTTCCATCAAGGAAATTTATGCCAAGATTGATAGAAAAGTATGCTTCTCAAGTTGATGATGGAAACCGGGAAAAGTGAGTAAAGGTTCCTCAATTTCTCGGTCCTTTGACTCATGGTCGAGTCCTCACTATTAAGTTTCTCTCTTGGCCGTAATTGGGCATGTTGTTGTAGACTTTGAACGTCTAAACATTGTGTGTACACTACTATTGTGTGCTTCTGTTTGAGCTGCTAACGTTAAAGTATGTGTACCACGGGTGAGAGATGCGTTTCAACTGGGCAAAACATTCACGCATTAAGTTAACTACCTTTATGCCTTCAAAATTTTATTCTGTTTTAGCAGACACTGCACTTGCCACCGCATTCATATACTGGCAGCTAAAACATTAAAGAAGAGTCAAGAATACTGCGCCGCAAAAATATCAAAGCTATCGCTCCGTTCAGAAGGTCTGGAAAAACTCCTTTTCCAATTCACTTTTGTAAAAGCTTTGATATCTCATTCAAACTACTTAAAGCTGAGTGTAGAACTCGATGGAACTCTCACTTCAAGACTTTAAATGATGTCTTAATGGCATTGCAAAGAAAATGATAATGTCAGTTGCCGGATATGCTCTATAAAGATGAAGTTACCAAAATCATCGAACACCTCCACGATGAGAAGGCATCTGTGTGAAACAAGCGGGGAGATGTTAACGGAGAACGGTACTTTCACACACCCGTTGAATTTGTCTTAGTTGCTAACACATGCAGTTATAATAAAGAGTTCGTGTTGACAGAGTGCCTTTCGCTTTAGCTATCTAACCTAAACTAACTGACCACATTACTACAGCATCTAAAAACTCACTCGTCGTATGAAGCTCGTTCCGAAAGCCCGAGCCACGATGGGAAATTTCGTGCTGCTGGTATCATATACGTAAAGAAACAAAGATTAGTGCAGAAAACGCTAGAAACCAACTCATTCAACCAAGTTGTGGCCGCTCCACTTTATCGAAACTGAATGCCCGACAAGATGGAACTCGCTCTTCAAAACGCTAACGGATGTGCTCGTGGCTCTCGAGCCTTTCCAAGACCTACTTCTTGGAGAACTGTCAATGGAACTTCTCACAGTGCAAGAAGTAAAATTATTGCAATGTGTTCGGGACAGTTTGGCCATTATCAATCAGCTCTCATTGATTGTAAGTTATATTTTTTAGAACACATTTCTGTAACAGATGTTTCTAGGGATCTAAATCAACATCCGTTGAAACGGATTAAGTCGCCGGTTTAACAAGAGCCAAGCCAAGTCTAAAGGTCTTAAAACAATCAAGCCTAGCTCGAGCTCGGCTCGAGTTCGCGAGCCTATTTTTTGGCCAAGTAGCTGGCACATCGTTCTCCCATTTTTTCAAAACCGGGAAAAACTCAAAATTAAAAATTAAAAGAAACTTTATTGAAACATGAAAATGGCTCACAAATGTAGAAAAGGTATATTAGTCAAAAGATGCGCTAGCAGCTAGCTTAATACTATTAATCATCAAGATGTAACCAATGTTTCGATTTATTCCTATTATCTCTGAGTATCCTGGCGTCGTCTTTCCGTATTGTTACAGTTAAATGTGAAAAGTGTAGAAATCAGGACTTCCAAATTTAGAGTAGTCAGGTTTAGAGCTCAAGGTATCATAACCTGAAAGGCAATAGGATGTGTATCTAACATGTACTGACCAAGTGAGCTGACAAGCGGAGATATTCGGTTGATGTTGTCCAGAAAATCATCAGAAAAGAAATCGAACCATGATGTTAAGGCTTTTTGGTTAATCTTCTCTTTGACTTGAGATGCAGAGAACTCTTGTCTTAATTTGATAGCTGAGAAATCATTTAGTTAAAAACTTACGGATTCACTAAAACTTCAGAGCCCATCAATTCTTCATGATGAAGAACTGCGTCTGACCACTCTACTCGTAGAAATTTTAGGATTCGCCTGGCTTCTTCTTCTGATGCTTGAACCAAACGCTCGTAATACACCTAAGAATGCTTAGTGTTTGAGCGGAATGATTTGAGGTACGTACAGTCAGACAAGTCCCAGGCGTATTACGACATTGCAAATACATTTTTTTGAAATGTTTCTCCCATTGCTTGAGCATATCAATAGGATCAGAGAAGTTGAAACCAGCTACAGGAACATCACGGCTTATCATAGAGTGAAGAACGGCTCTCGGATCACGAATCATGAAAATGAACCTGGTAAAAATGAAAAAGATATATACCACCAGTCAACATTACCTCGCATTTGGAAACAATTCCATCAGGTATGGAATGTGCAGAAGTTGGAAAGGATCTTTATTGCACAACCGGTTTGCCGTTGGTCCGTTTTTTGCTATTAACTAAGATTCTCTAGTATTTCCAATTGTAGGTCCGCACAACTTACTTCGCTTATGAAAGCGGAGACTGCATCATTGACAGCTTTTGGTTTCAGTGTTGAATTATGCAAATCTCTGGTGGCGCTGGAGTGAGCGTTGAGAAGCAAAGGAATAAGCATTGTCTCATCACCACTGTAATTGAAAAGATAATGAGTATGCAAGAAGTAATGTAATACATACCATCTAATTTCTTGATGAGAGTCAAGCATTACTCTCATTAGCGTTGTTCCAGACCTTGGCATTCCACCTGAGTATGAGTTTATGTTTGGACAATGAAGATATCTACCTATGAAGATAAGTTCTTCTGTAGGACTCAGTATTCTCCGTGAGTATCGTGTGTTACCATTGTCTAAAGGGCTTACTATGCTGGTCTCCCATAGAGAACGACGCAGATCAAGCAATTCATCAAACAGTTCATTTCTGGATATTCAGATGTTATGAAGCCAAGGTTGAGATTCTCTAATCACCGTTGATGAAGAAGATATAATGATAGTATCATAAGAAATATGCTGAAGATGACATTTAAACTGTAAATGGTTAATCGCATTTTCAGAGGAACGTTGTGGTATGAGAGGAAGTGTGATCACCATTACTACGTATTCCTTAGTTCTCGCATCTGGTTCAATATTTGAAAATGGTAATTAGTTGTCAACAATGTGCAGCTTTCACAGCTCATGGATATTGTGATGAGTTAAACTTCTGTCGAATGAGTAACTCTATGAATAAGCGGATGAGAGAAAATACAATAACGATTGAAACATAAGTTATAAGTAGGTAGGTAAGCTTCTCAATCGAAACTTACCTGTGATGGTAACAAGCACCAACACAGACGAGCTAGGAGAACACGCTAAATTTTCCTTGTAGGGCACTCACAGCTGTTTAACTATGAGTTCTCAACAGAGCAGTTCTATCTCCATGTTATATATTATCATTTACATCTAAGTTATGTTATTAAATAAATATTATGTTTTCAGAATGTCATTGGAACGATGTTTGTATTGCAACGATTGGAGAAAAGAGTTTCGTACTTTCAACATATTGGAAATGGAAGTTGTTTGATGGAATTGTATGAGGAATGTGCAACAGTTATCAGAATGAGTTGTTTTTTAACTTTCAAAGATCTGATCAAGCAGCTTGCTGAGAGATGGTGTGAGCCTCAGGCAATCGCGATGAAACGACCGCTAACATTCTACTACAAATAAAGAATGAAGAATCATCATCATCATTTCTCACTCGACAAAAAGTGAGCAGTGGCAGTTGCATGGACGGCCGCAAAAATTTTTTTTTTCAGAAGAAAATGTTTTCAATTGCATTTTCATTCCATGTCACTATTGCGCAGTGAGCGGTGCTTCCTGGTGAACTTTGAGTGGACAGTGTTCGTCTGATTTTTGAGCGTTTTTTTTTATTGTCGTGTTCAGATGTTTGTATATGCAGTAACTGTATATGATGAAATGATGTGTGATTCCTTTTCCAGGCTAGAATATGCTCATATACAAAACCAATGATTATCCTATAACTTGAAGAAGAGGGTAACACTGAGAAACGTACTTTTATAGATTTAATTAGTATCCTCTCTTCTAATTTCTGATTAATTAATTGGTCGAGATAAAGGTTATGGTTGACTCAATTCTTGCATACACGTTTGATGCATGAGCATGCCCTTTTGATAGTCCTCCAAAATTTGGATTCATTTGATTCCGGATTGTTGTATTTCATCTGTCCATCTGTCTGTCAACCGTCGTTCCAATAAAAGTTCCAGATTCTGATTCTAGACACTTGCTTTTCTCCGCTACTTGCCTCTCAATCATCATTTCTTTCAAAAATCCAAATAGTCGTCCCTCTTGTCAAATTCCGCCCACTTCTCGCCTTTGCCTTCAGCTTCGATTACTTGAGAATAATATCTTATTTTATTCAGCAGTTTTGAAAATTAATAACTTTTTCATTCATTTATTTTGGTTCGATTGATTTCGTATGTCTGACTGACCAATGAGATTTCGTCTCATAGCTCATCATCGTTTAGCTCTTCGCACACACACACACACACAGACAATCTGTATCATTCACCTTCTCCTTTATATTTCAGTTTCAACTCAAAAGCTATGATCAGAGCTTATTAAACAAACGAATAGATATATTGTGATTAGAGAGATGTCTTGGTTATTTCAATCGAAAGTAAGGAATGGTTTAGCTTTGCTGTCTCAACTAGAAGCTATTGTAGGTCAGCAAGTCACACTTCTATGTATGGTATTTGGGATCGAAAGAAGCCGATGGTGTTCGCGGATCAGCTGTAATGTTCTTATTTTTTTTCTTATTCCCATTTTCTATATATTTAATTCTCAAAAATATAAAATCATAAAAATTTAAAACGAAAATGAAAAATCGTTTTGGTGTTTGTTTAACAATGGACACCACCAGGAGCTCAATTGACAGGAAACGTTCGAGATGTTTGCTTGTAGACCGTCAATTTTATTTTTAATTTCGACGATTAAACAAAAAAAGTTTGAGAAAAAAACTGTGGAGAAGCTTTAGAAGCTTTTGCTAATGCTTAATATGATGAAGAATTCAGGTTGTATTGCCCGTTATGAGACAGCTGCTGAAGGAAAGCTTCAAAAAAACGCCGAGTAAAGCTACCGTCCAAGTATATTTGCATTTGACTATATGTGCAATGATATGTGCTATGCATTGCAGATATCTTCAAAAGGCTTAAAGCTTATACAATCAGTACCGGCTATGTCACGTAGTGGAAAAGTCAAAATGCAATTAGTCAAATTTCAAATAGCTGCTAATTGCATTACTTATAGGTAATTATAATAATTATATGTTCATTCAATTAACTATATGTTATAGTATTACTGGAAAAGCACCATTTGATGATGTGGTTGGAGTGGTGATGCTTGTTCTAAATCCCGAAATGCAATCGCCTATGCACGTTCACTGTTACAGGTCAGTATTTCAATGAACGAACGAACGAACTCTTAGCGTACAAACCATGATTGTTGTTATATGGCGTCAGATTGAGATATCATACTTTCAACAACAACCTAATAGAGAATAGATTTATGATTCGTTTTCTGATTTTTGATGATGAATCTTTCAGATGTGACAGTGCGGAAACAGCTCAAATTCTTCACGCAAACATACAGGTTGACATATATGCAAGCTTCACACTCACTTAAACACATCTCATTGCAGATAATTCTGTCAAAACCAGAGGTGCAAAGATCTATTGTTGACTTAGAACACCGTCTTTTCCTTTCCGGCCTTCTCGTACCACGAACGTTCGTACATATCATGTGATAGCATATCGATATTAGCATTTTAAGATCTTCAAGTTCACGCGATCTATCAGTTTCATCTCGAGTGGCAACAGGAGGTTCATCCAGTCATCGACAGACTGCATCTCAGACATTAGAAAGACGTTCAAGGGCATCTCGTGAGGCAGAAGCGGAAGCAGAAACTTCACGAAGAGTGCGACGGCGAGAAGATTCTTCAATTCCAGTCACATCACGTCGTCTCGTAGAGGAGCTTAAAAGCAAAGTGACGTCAGCACCTGAAGCACCTATCCGTAACAGCTTTGAGGTAAATTCACATGAGATTCAAACTTTTTTTTGTTTTTCATTTTTTTTTGCTCACACAATCAGTAATTTGCAGTCACTACACGGAACTCTGACAAGACCAACAGCAGATTCTCGACTTCGTGACATGCGACAACCATCAAAACTACGCCTATTCGGAGACACATTAATTCGCGATCATAAAAGTCGCAGCTTAGATAATTTGGCAGGCTGTTCATTGGTCTCCACGTATGTCGTTGCACTACCGTATCCGATGAGATTGAAAAAAAAATTATTTTCAGAAATTTAAGAGGAAATTCTCCAAATATATTTCCAAAGACTGATCTGACAGATCCATTTGGACAATCATATGAACGCATGAATACATTAGAAGGTTTCTGGAGAGGACCACGAGGCAGCAGTATACATCTGCATACGTGAAGAACACACCGAGTTGTGTGAAAAAGAAAAAAAATCTCAAAAACATCGGAATAACGTAATCTCATCTTCCATCTCACAATGAGTGTACAAAGCAGTTACTATTGAAATCCTATTGCTCATCGTTCATATAGAAGAGAATACATCAAATTCTATTCTTTATTAAAGTTTAAATATTAATAATAAAGTGTTTCATTCGTTATCCTCAGCATTGTCTTACTCTGATCACTCTGCTTCATGTGTGTAAGCTGATAGAGCATAAGCTTATGCTTCTCCCTGGTGCAGAGCTTGTTTTTTCTTTTTTTTTTGTTCACTCATATCCAATCTGTCACTCTTTCCTTTTCAGGAAATAGCTCGGAAACCTTCTTTCTTTTTTTTGTCTTTTGGTTAACGAACTGATTAAACATTATCCCTTTTCTTTGCCCAACCTCTCTCTCTCTCTCTCTTCTTCTACCTCTGTACCTTTCTCTCTCTCTTTAACGATAGTTTCTTTATTACTTGAAAAATAGGATATTTATATTATTTATCATTTCCGGAGAGGACATTGCTAAAATGTAGAAGTGTAACTCCTGTATCTATCAATCCAACGTATGCGAGATGCGTGTGGTTTGTGTGAGTGAGTGTGTATTCATCTCCTCCTCCCCCCTTCTTTCTTGTATATTTTATAAAATAATAATAACATTTTTTATAATTTCAGCCATCTAAATAACTATTATAATGGAACAAAACTTTCATTTGCATTGTGAAAGAGACTGAAAGAGAGAAGCCGAATTGTTAATTTCTTCGTCTCCTTTTCTTCATTTTCTTCTTCAGCTTCTGCTTCTTCTGCATCTTCTACTTCTTCTTTTTCTTTTTTTGTTGTTGTTGAAATATTAAAAAAAACACGCAAAATCTTTGAAGAATATTATATCGGCTGTTCTTTTCTTCTTCCGTCTTCTGCTGTCTCTACATCGACTTCAACATCATGAACGTCGTCGTCGTCTTCGCGTAAAAGGTATTTAGCTTTGTTAACTGGCTTCTTGAATTTCTTTTCATTCACCAATTTCTCCTTCAACTTTCTTTCATCCAAAAGTTTCTTCAAAATATTTCTTTGATGCTCCAGGTCATCGTGTCTGAAAGGCAAAACCAGAAAACACAGTTATGACAGTTAGAGAAAGAGAGAGAGAGTGTGTGTGGTGTGTGTGGTTGAGTTGTAAGCAACTTACTCGGTATTAGATGAATGACTGGGCAATTGAGCTTTAACCAACAACATTGCTTTCTCTTTAATATTCTTTTTATTATCATCTAACTGTCTTTCGACACTTGTCATTGTGCTTGGAAAATCGTTGAATCTGAGTATAAACACTATATATTACCTAATAAAGTAACACAATTGAAACATTACTTGTTTAATAATTCTGAAAAGGTTGATATTTCTATTTCCAATGCTCTCTCTTCATCCCTCAAACGCTGCAATTCGCATCTGTATTGTTCATAACGACGTCGTCTGCTATCCAAATTCTTCAGAAATAGCTCCGAATTCATATTTTATAATCTACAAATGATTTTCAATATCATTATTTATATATGGTTAGTCCATTGTGTATATGCCACATTCTATAAATGGAAAGAAGGGATGCTAAGGGTGCTAAGGTAAAGACCATCACCATCATCATCAATGAATCAACAAGAATGGCTTCAAAGTAGCTTTTGCCCAAAAATGAAGAGAGAGGGGAAAAAAAGAATTTAAAATATTTATGAATCTAACCTATAACCGACGTCGAATAGGAAATTCCTTTCAAAGCAATTATATTAAAAGTAGTTTGTCCTTTGAACTTTTGTTCAGTCAAACAAAAAAAAGGATTTGATAGCGAATAACTGGCTGGCTGTGTGTTGCTACTGACCTTTGCTAGTATATGGAGCAAGCTGTTGATTATGACGTTTAGAAATCCTCAATTCAGAAACGAATTTACTCTACAGACACGGGAGGTCGGCGGGTGGAGAGGAGGGGGGGGGAGAAGAAGACGGAACCACAGAAGGTTGATGCTGTTGGTCTTGACAAGGAACAATCGTAAGATGTATAATCAAAAAGGAAAATTGTGAAATTGCCGATGAAATGAAAGAAAAGAATGGAAAAGAAAAGACATTTATTGATTTACCTTAAAAGGAAGTAAAGATTCTAATAGGCAGAGGGATTTGCATCAGACCAGCCGGCGTTCACGCGTCATTGATCATTCCGGAGGTGAAAGATGCTGAAGTTATTGGCAGTTTGAATAATATATTGTCTGCACAATTACATGAAACTGTCGTTGAACACAGAGAGAGAGAGGTAAAGAGAGGTGATGAGGAGTCGTGGGAGGATGAAGAAGACATGCTCAAGACGAGCCTCCCCCCCTTCATCCATTGAAGGATATCGGAAAGGTGTAGGAGTAATGATATAGCACATTGACTGACAAGTGATATGAGACACATACAATGATTGAAATGAAGAAAACCTTTATTACATTCGTAGTAGATGAAGACAACATTGCTTGAAATGAAGTTCATTTGCCATATTCTGTATGATTGTGTGTGAGAGAGAGAGAGAGCTGGATCGAGATAGCAACAAACGGTCTTTTTCGAATCTCTTCATAGATTTTTGAAATATAATAATAAAAAAATGAAAACAATCGCATAAAAATGAGGAATTGTTCGAAAATTCTTAAAATATTTTTATGCAGGTAAAGGCTATCTAGTATAGCATATCGAGTATGTTGAAGTACATATAGTTAGCATATTATTATATGATTGGATATTTAAGGATAGTGATAGATCAAGAGAGGGAAACAGAGAGAGAGAGAGAGATCAAGATAGAGAGAGAGTACATGAGATTCACTTTCTTCCTGCCCAAGCATAGAACTGTTTTCGTTTCTCCATATCAGGTACACCACTTGCACTCCGTTTACCAGCCCAAGCATAGAATCTGAAATGTTTCATTGTCAACAGCCATACTTGAATATTGTATTTTATGATAATGACATAACACGGAAGCTTCATTCTCTCACTGTTTCCTTTGTCTCTCACAAACATACACATACACATACACACGCACGTGTTTGCTGATGAAAGAAGCTGAACGAATTGTGTTCTTGTTTCTCCTTCTTTGTCGTTTCTCCAAAAAAAAAATGCTCTAGCAAATCTGGCATTATCTTGCTCGAAATATTATTGGTCACGAAAATGCCTGTTGGATTGAGAGCAAATCACAGGGTTTGATAGAGAATGGTCACGATTGAAATTCAATGAAAACACTTTTGTGTTTCCAAAGCTTAAAACACAAAATGTTTTGTCTTTTCTTTTTTTTTCTTTCGTTTTTGGAATGCTTTCATGTCTTTTCCTCATCGAAATTGACTTTCAAATGGATAAAGAGAAAATGAGCTAGAGAGGGAGAGAGATATGAACAGAGAGAGAGAGAGAGAGAGAGAAAGTAACTTACTGCTTTCGCTTATCAGCTATCTGCTTGTATTCAGAGATTGGATCTGATCGTTTACCATCTTCCCAAGCATAGAAGCGCTTCGCCTGCAATGTCACAATATATAGTTTTCAATGAAAATCTATGGCATTCATTTAAAATTTATATGATTTTTCATTTGTAGGTCAAGTGAACGTTGAAAAAGGCTGATTGACAGCATTTTGATTTATATAAATCACTTATGAATGAACAGAAACTTGTGTGGCTCTCCCAGGTAGTATATAGAAAGAGAAAGAGGGAGAGAGGGAAATATGAAGAGAGAAGGATAGGTGTGAAAGTTAGTTATACAGATGGATACATGACATATGATAGTTGGAACGGAGGTGAAGAAAAAAAATGTTTGAAACATACCGGAAGATCTTGGAATCTCATAATATCATCAGCATCGGCAGCTCCAAACAGAACATGCTGTTGAGCTTGATGAACAACAGTGCATACAATCAGAAGAACAGATAGAACACTGAGTCGATTCATGATTGAGAATGTAAAATGAAATAGAAGTATAAGACAGGTATGCTCTAGACTGTTATAGTCGTATAACAGACTCTTCTGCCCAATATAGTTTGAGAGATCTGGCAGTGGGTTGTCTAAAAGACAGCTTCCTCCTCCTCTTTTTCAGCTACTCCACCTCATTTGCAGGTACCGCCCCTATTTCTTTCTCTGAACCTCTTTGTTTTATATTTTATTTGAGAATGTTATTATAGAGAGAAAGACAAATCATTCAACAGCCACGCCCTACTGCTACCCTATGAAGGATAAAAATGATTAAAGTTCAATAAATGCTTGTTGAAAATGAGAGAGGGAGGAAGAGATAGAGAGATAGAGAGTGAGAGAAAGAGGAAAAAAATTGTTGAAAGAAAATGAACGAGATGGACGTGAGAATAACATCAGTCAACACATACAACATCTTAAATCTTGACAGCTTTATCATTGTCTTCTTACATACGGCTTATTTGCAGCTCAAGAATTTTGAATTTTCACTTTGATATGTCTTTTTCAGTTTATTAATCTCTCCTAGGATTATTGGTTCTTATAACTTCGAATTAATAGAGCCATATATGAGATGAATCGGATCACCAATATCATTATAACCAGGATAATCACATCGGGCCACTTGTTGGATGCATCAAAGTCAATCTGTAACAGTGAGAGGTACAATGAACAATAAGGAGTAAAGGTTAAGAAGGATGTATGAAAAGGAAGGTGAGTTACTTGTTGCGTGAACAAGCATAAGGCTATACACACCATAAGCAACAAGAACAAAATGGTGTTACATGAAAGAAACTGAAAGACACAAAACAAGTTACCTGCTCTAAGACTTGTGTTCCACTTGTGGGACAGTCAACGAAAGTTTTACTGGCGTTATAGCAGCCTGAATAGGATATCATAAAGAAATGCTCATACAGACAAAAACAAAAGATAAATTTAAATTTTCAAAAAAAGTCTTCTTCGTCATCTTTCTGCAGCCACACACACACATGCTTACAGACACTAACACATACACACACACGTACACACACACACACACACACATAGAGCCTTCTGCCTGTGTAGATGAGCATGAGGCGCATGAGGTGTTGGTTGCGTTAAAGAAAATAAATATGAATATGAATGAGATTATTGTATGAAGAAAAAGCAAACCCTCGATGTATCCAATGTTCTCCCATTCGTTGACAGCAAAAGCTTCATAACCATATCTTCAATTATACAAGATGTAGATATGTGTGAATGTGTATGTGTATAACATATACGCGTTAGTTAGCGTATATGCTATATCATTCTCAACTTACTTAAAATATGATAATGATGATAACCATTTGAAATAGAATGGAATTGATTCATATGTAATGAAGAAACCTCCAAATGCCATTATGGGAACAACAAAGACGGGCAAGACAGTCATTGCTATTGCGGTTGTAGCAAAGATGGTTGCTACTGCATAAGCTATAATCATTGAAAGCATATAGTGTTAAGATGATAATGCCATTATATAACATACAGACAGATATGGCAACATTTGTAATGAGAATTGATACAAGTGATGCGAACATGAAGCTCCATAGGCTTGGGTATAATCCTTCAACATTAAGAATTCAATGATCACCTATATACCATAACAACATCATCACAAACCTGACATCCAATAAACGATAGCATTATAGATGACGGGTAGAACGATGTACTGAGGGAGCTACAAAACAAGATGAGAGATATATATAAATATATATATAAGCTTAACTATGTGTATAGTTAATAACTTACTTCAGCTACATTTTTAGCTAAGAAATATGAGCTTGTTCTATATACTCCATTTGCATTTTCTCGTAAAACAATCGGCAATTCAGCAGTGATTACCTGATGGAAGAATGTTATTTGAATATATGTCCATATAAGGTTATAACATACAGGTACATTAGGAAATTGTAACATAAAGTTAATGTTACGTATGTGATTGAATAAAATGCCATTAATGGATATTATTGTTGCTGGCGTTATTTGAGTGTCAAAGTAGACGAAGCCTGTTATCAAGGCAGTAACCTGTTAATAAATTAATATTATTATTATATTATATTATTTTATATATTTATATTTAAAGGTCATATCCATGATGATTATCCTCTATCTAGCTTATATGTCTTAGCTTTCATCTGTTGCTTATGTTAATCTTAAACTACCACATACCACTATCTGAATCAGACGAACTTTCAACAGAATTGGATCACGTATGACAGTCAGCCATGAACGCCAACATAATGCGGAAAATTGTGCACAAAATGATGAAGAATATCTATAAATATAATGCATAATTAATTATTTTCTTTAGCTTTTCCATGCAAATCTCTTACTCTTGACTAAAAAAACTTTTTTCTGTTCCATTCAAGCTATCCTCATAATACGCATTATGACGATCTGCTGCTTTTGTCGAAATATCCATGATAGCTTTTCCTTGTTCACTTTTTAAGAAGCCATCACGTATTCTCTTAACAAAGACATATTATAATTAATATGTGAATATATATATGTGTGTATATATATATATATCTTACAGCAATTGTTTTCAATGATGTTGTACGATCCTTATCAATAACGGCTAGAGTACGTATTAAGTGATCAGCTGGATTATAATATGGAGGACATGGAAATCCACAACTTAAATAAAATTGGTTTTTCATTTTTTTAAAAATAAATGGATAGATTACTGTATCATATGATTAATTATATGTAAATTAATTAACTATATATGCTAAAGATGAATATGGATATGGTTAGATGATGAAAAAGAAGAATGCGGAAGTCGGATAACAATTACATCTATCAAATGATCTCTAGTCAAAGATTATTTTATCCGGAGAAAAAATTTTTTTTGTTGTTGTTACAGTATTGATTAATGACCTTATAATCTTAAAATAGTATTGAGATAGCTATTTAAAGAATAAAGATTACAAAAACAATTATAACAAAAAAAAGGCATTTGTATAGCTTTTCAATCACAAGCTGCGAACGATTATGAGAATCCACAAAAGGGGAGCTGTCATTAACCTATTGGCCATTAACCACAAACAACAGGTATGCACGTAAGGTTCATGCTGCACTCAATGACATTTCATTGTTTTAAACATATCAACAAGCTTGTTGTTGTACAGAAAAATGAGAAACAGCAACATCTGGACTTGAAAAAGCACATTGTACTTTGAACAAGTACATTCATGTAACAGTTTTTGCAAAGAAAGAAAAAAATTTCATTTATAAGCATATGCTATATGATATCCTGAGAACGAGAGGTAGATGTGGGGGGGGGGGGGGGGAATTTCATAGTTTTTGTCATTTTAATAAGTTATAGAATCTATATATGGGATAACCATATGGATATAGATAGATGCATAGGTTGGATACTATGGAAGACATCTTACCTTGTAAACAGACGTGTTGCTTCATCTGTTGGACCTAAGTAAATATTTCTTCCACATGCCATCAAACATACACTAAATAAATAAATATAAGAACAACAACAACATCAACATAACATGAAAATGTGGATGAAGCTTAGTTAATCATTACCCATCTTTACATTTACATATTCTGCTTAAGTACTTACTTGTGGAATAACGAAAATACTTGGCTGGATGGTTGATGAATGGTTATGATGACTGTCATTCCAGCATCAGCTAATGTTCTTAAGGCTTGAACGACATGTCCTGAAAAAATAAAAATGTTTTTTTGTTTTCTTTTATGTTAATGTGTTCTGTACGCTTGATCTGATCAGTGAAAGCAACCGCTCAAGTTCATTTTGAAATGAGAAATGAATTCATATACGATTCACGCTGAAGCAACAGAGAACAGCGTTTCACGTGATAATTCACGTAATGCATATGCTAATGCATGTTCATGCTTTTCTATTCATGTTGATTGGTCTGGTCTTACCTGCCATAAAAGCATCCAAACCAGAAGTTGGCTCATCACAGAACAATATTTTAGGGCAAGTTAAAATCTAGAATGAGCAAACTATGACCAATCGAATGATTTTTTCGAGAACCTCTGAGGCGAATGCTAATCTCTTCTGTTCGCCACATGATAGGCCTTTGACAGAGTTCGGTATTCCAATCATGGTATCAGAACAAGGAATAAGACCCATCTATAAATGGAAGTTCTTAGATTATAATGTTTTAAGGGGATGTGTGATGAATGAAGTATCAACCTGTTGAATGACTTCTTCTACGCGAGCATTTCGTTCCCAACTCGTATGCATTGAACCCATACGGAGTTTTGCCTTAAACAGAGATCATACTCATTTACTAATCAGATAGTTACCATAAACTGCAAATGTTCCCTAACTGTCAATGTACCAACAAACATATCATGTTGTTGAACAAATGCTGATAACTATAAAACACATAATTAGTATAAATAACATTATATTTTAAATACTTCACGTATGGTCCACTTGTTGGCTCGCTGTCCATTGAGAAGAACAGTACCTTGAACATCTAATGCTCCAAGATTACGTGAAGTCAACACATTGAGGAGTGTCGTCTTTCCGGCTCCACTATAAGTTACGTATGAGCAATTCATTTTTCAATTAATTATGTCTAACCTACTGCCCATGATGGCCAGAACTTTTCCCGATTCAGCTACTCCACTAACTATTATAACATATAGTTAAGCATTAACAATTACAATGATCTTACCATTATGAAGAATTTGCTTTAACTTCTTTGGCTTAGCATTTTGTATATATTTTTCTTTCAACGATGATGGCTTCGTCTCTGGTCCGTTAACCTCAAGTTGTGACCAGGAGAGAGTGCATCTGCAAGCATTTTAAAATATCACCGTCTCATCATCATTTCATTGGATGTGTATCAGAAAGTGTGAATAGATGTCCTCTTTCTCCCCCTCTCTTGCTCTTTTGCTCTCTTTCTCTCTCTGTTTTTGCTTCTCATACCCTTCAGGAATTATTTTCTGAAATTTATCCACATTTTCGGAAGGCAAAAGCGGGGCCTTATCATTTGATATTGGCGGCATCTGAAAATACGTAAAAAAGATAATCAGAATCAACTTCAATACACTCCAAACTATAAATGGAAACAAAACATGCAAACGAAACATTTCTTTAAACTTTTCAGAGATAGATCTATGAGATGTATGAAATAGCAGAAGCTTGAATGAACGTCAGTTCCGGAAACTTAAAGGATAGTTCTCAAACATGTGCTTGACAATGAGATGAAAAGCTTATCGTACAGTAACCGGTAATCATAATAACGCTAGATGAAGGAGCTTAGGACACTACAAAATGTATTTTATGTTATTGGTTTAGAGAAAGGAATGATCAAGTAGGACAGTAGTATAAGATACCATATTAGGTCACAGAAGTGATAAGAGGAAGAAGCAATCAAGACCTAACTCCTTTACTCTTTATGCTTCACATCAACCGACAACCTCAACACTGTCGAGAAGAGTCTCACAAACAGCTGGAGTGTGTTGTGTATGGGCTGGCGATAGAGTAATGGAATGGAGTGATATGATGAGAGGGTAAAAATATTTTTTTTTTGTTTCAAATCAAAATTTTATTTCCTTATTAATTGATGTCTGGCATTTTCATCTTTATCGCCTTCGTTGAATTGAATGAGTGATAAGATTTTTTCGAATCCTCCTCCTTCTGCCAACTTCTTATCTTTTAACTTTTCCAGCAGCACTTTTGACCGAATATATTTTTCAGTCTCAAAAAAGTGTTCGCTTTAAAATAAAAATTCTTCACAAAATGCACGTAGAGAGTGCATGTATACGAGAGAGACCTTAGAACGGCAAGAGAAAGCCTTTGGTTACTATGGAAACAACATTGACCAAGCAATGTAATATAGTAATCTACAAACATAGCAATGTCTTCTAAACGAAGTTTACCTCCTAAAACAACTTTAAAAACTAAAAAAGAATTAACTACAAGGTAAACAGTTTGCTTAAAAGCTTTTCATTCATTTGTATTACAGAGCCAAGCCTGAGAAGGTGTCTAAATCCACCGCGAAGGCCAGTCAGAAGATCACAAAAGAAAAGGAAAAACCTCCGAAAGTAAATGAGAAGAGGGCTACGAAGCAAGTGAGTTTTAATGAATGATGACAAGATACAACTAATCATTTAGATCGAACCAGAAAAAAAAGAAAAAAAAACAAAAAAAGTCGATGAGCCCCCTCCTCCACCATCCCCACCTGTAAGTTCAAATCTACCTAAATCGCATGGAAACAGTTTTTTAAAGGAAGAAGATTACTATTCGGATGACTTTGAAGATTATGATGAATCGGAAGAGGATGAAAGTGAAGACAAAATAAGAATTGAAACAACGAAAACTCGTGAAGCAACTCCACCTGACCAGGAAAACGATGAGCGCTACGAATCAGATTTCGTTGAGGATTCAGATGAAAGTGAAGTAGAAAGTGTTCCATTAGAGCAAATACAGGTTTGTCTTTAACACATTCATCAATAAGGGAAGCTTCTCTGTAACCAATAAGTAGTTATACATTCGCTAGATAGGCCTCTTATCATATCGCCAACACATAATAAAGTTAATAATTATTTTAGGATCCAACGCCGTTACTCAAACGCTTGGTGGATCGTGAACATAATCAAATATCTAATTCTAAACAGACATTACCTGAAACGAAAGAGGTTCGTAGTCCTGATGTTCAAAGTATCATAGAAAGGATTCCTCTGTTCAGCACTTCATAGAGACAACCGCACCCTCCGAACCTCGGCCTATCAATTTTACTTCCGCTACTTTAAATCCATCTGAAAGCGTTCCCATAAACGAGAAGAGGTTGAGAAAACTTCAAGAGCTTATAAGTAATAAACTGCTCGTCGAACACGTTTCTTCAAAATCGAAATTTAAGAGTTCGATCACACCAGAACAGTCTTATTGAATGTGCTGCCTAACAAGGAACATGATTTCTACTTGGAACTTTTCGGAGCAACGGGAAAAAAACAGGTGATAATGCTTTGTGAATCAACAGCTATTGTTTTCGTTTAGGGATCAGCTCAAACCAATGACGATGACCTTCATGAAATGACTCAAACAGAGCAAGACGATGTTGAAACAAAAGGAACTCAGTTTCCAATGCTGGTAAACGACTGATCTACTTAGTGCTGAATAGTTATGTACATCTAGATTGAGACTCTTAACCACGAGAATGAGAATGAGTCTGAAAGTGATTTGTCTATTTTCAAAAACAGTCATTTGGAAAGCCAGCATTTGAAAAATTTCATGTCTGTTGCTTCCAAGGTTTTGTTTCATCTTCAAGATGCCATCAACCTCATACTCTTCCAGGTGATACTCGAGCTTACCTCTGATTCATCCTTCTCTTCGAGAAAAACTGAGATGAAGCATCATAGTAACTTGTCTTTCAGTAAAGGGTTCCATAACTTAACATCACCCACCACCTTCAGTAAGTATTCTTCCATAGTTGGTCAGCTCTACATTTTCTTTTCAGAGGGCAGAGTGACTGCAGTATCAAAGCAAGGGACAGACCCTGATTACATCTTTGTCAGTATTTTTATAAGAGAGTCTGTTATGGAAGATTTGATAGCGAAAACGCTCATCTGTGAATATTCTGTTGATAACTCCACTCCTCCGAGAAAGTGAATCTGATTATTGAACATGTCCTTTAAAGTTCTGTTTCAGCTTGTTCCTAGCCGAAGGCGAAGTGACTTGTATCGTGGGATCTCCGGACCGTTCTATGCTTTGTGCTGGACTGGTAAATATCATAATCAATAGACAATATATTTGAGTTCGCACAGAAAGATGGATCCGTTTTGGTGTACAATCGACTTGAGAAGAATTGTGAAGATACAGAGAGCATTCCTTGGCTGGGTGTGCATATTTCCTAAAATAAAAATCAATTTAAATTACAGAGAGTCCGGCACCACTACCCCTGATTCCACCCGACTTCAACACTTCCTATTACAGTTCCGAAATTAACGGAACATCCTCATCAGCTCCTGTAGTAGATATCGCATTCATTACTTCATCACAAAAGTAACTCACATCATAATGCTAACAAAACGCTTGTCTCAGAAAAAGTTCGGATCAACTAGTAGTCTTAGACCAATCGGCACGCTTATGGGTCTATACGTGTCAACGAAACTCTTCGCTGATGATGAAGGGTATGGCTCCCGGAGCTTACGTTTTCTTAACTATGAGTGCCTTGATCCGTCCAGATTCTGTAGTTTCACGGTAAGAGAATATGAAACTATTTTGTAATTCATTTGTCAGAAATGCCTCCATACCGACATCAGTCATCGCTAATTGCTTGGCTGTCTGCGGTGAGCCTGCTCAATTCATCATAGGTTTGTTTTATACAGCTGGAATATGCATAAATCTATTCATAACAGGTACCGATGTAGGATTCTTGACAACTATATCCAAATCTCGGGTGAACCAGCATGTTCCACGTCTATACAAGGACAAAACACGTACGACTAAGTGCATATGACCGCAATCCTTGAACACATTTTTAGAATTTTTTGGAGAAATAACATGTGTTCGGGCTTCACCCACGGAAAACGGTTTACTTCTGGTAATTCATTGTCATCGTTCAGAGTTCATTTTACATAAAACAGGCTGGTTTATCAACAGGCTGTATTTCCGTCTACAATCTTCACAAATCAGCAGCTATAACAACTATAACTCCAAGTGCAGCTTTCAGAAAGCCTGTTATAGCAATTGAATGGAGTCCAACGTTAGTGATAAATCGAGATAAGATGCTTTACTGATTACAGGGATCCGGATATCTTCTTTTCTCTTCATGAGGGTAACAGGCTATTGGTTTGGAATGTGAACAATCCTAAAGCGCCTCTGTTAACAGCTCAGTTGGATAAAGTATGGATTATTGAACACCAAATTTTATACAAACATTTTGCAGGACTCTACTCCGATCACCAAAATAACAGCGTGGAGGGACTCTTCATCGAATAATCTTTCATATTTGGCTTTAGGCTACTCTGGGGGAAACACCGAAGTTCATCTTCTAGAGCTTCTCAAGAAATAGAAAACTATATGATTTGCAATCGTGTTCATTAAATTAACAAAGAATTATTGGTTCAAAAAAATAAATAGAAAGAACGAAAGTTCAATGCGAAAGTACGTAATCGATTCAAATGAGGATAGTAGATTGATCTTCCAACAGTACTGATGTACTGTAAGCCATATCCCAATACTGAGCAACTCCATGCTTTTCAAAGAGATCACGAGCCTGAACATACAAAAGATTGCAAAAACTGTAGTCTGTAACTTACATTCTTTTCAATAGTGGCAGTAACAACGGTGAAATCACGGAAATTTCGTTTCTTAACTTGTCCTTCCCAGATCTGAAAGATTTTCAACTTGGAATCACCGAGTCTCAAACGAAATCTAACCAATGTGCAATTATTACGCTCTCCCGGGGCATCCTTCTCGGCATCTTTTTTCTGACCAATGATTTCATCTTCCCATTTAATTCGGCTCAGCATGAGATTTTTGTAGAATTTCTGCTGCTTGGGACCTATTATTACAATAAAATAGTGAAACAGTTGAAGAAACCCTTACCTCCTTCGACAACAACTAAATTAATCTGTTTATGCAATAAAACAAGACCAGTCATTTGAAGTTGCTTGGCATTCATTTCAACTTTGAACTTCTTGGCTGGATGTAACAACGATTTGATTCTGCGGAAGAAAGATATTTAAGACCCGACAAGGCTAGTTACCTATATACACACACGTTAACAGAAATTGAAGTATCCTCGGATATCTTCTTTGTTTTTTTCGCAGCCCTCTGCTCGTCGGTCAGCTTTCGTTCCGCATTGGCCTGAACAATCGGGATGAGTAGTGGATTTGAAGAAAATGGGTTAAATTGTTGGTGCATTTCACGCAATGAGCGGTTCCAATACAATGGTGGTGCAGAGCCCCATGATAAATTTAAGATGTTTCAATCTCATCTTGACAAATAACATACCTGCTGATGTTTCTTTAACCGTTCATCCATCTGTTTACGGACGTGGGCTTCCATCTTTGTTGGATCTTGAACAGCTTCACTACCAAGTACCCGCATAAGATTTGATATTTTCACCTAAAGAGGAGTTTAGGTAAATCTCAAAATTCCTCGCTTACCTTAGCTTCGGGTGCTTTTTCTAAACCTAATCTAATTTTTTCTGTTCGTTCTTTCAACATTTCTTTTCTGTTCTGACGACGGATCTTCTTTCGTTCCCGGGTAGTGAGATAGACCTAACACGAATATATCCAATGATGGATTTGCAACCTATTTATTACCTTAAGATATTGAGGAACCAGAGGATCATTTGGTGGCTTAAGCTTGATAGGATGTTCAACTAACTCGCTGATGGGATCTTTGAAACGGAATGCATTGGTAAGATCAGGAATGTTCTCATAGCTGAATTTACGGATAAGCACGGATGGATGATAACTAATTACTTGTCCTCTTCCAAAACAATAGAATCCCACCATTCTACTGTAGGGATAGAATCTCCGCTTTTACCAGCAGGAGTAACCATAGCCAATTTGACGGCTGATGAAATTCCAGTACTCTTCGCAACTTGAGATACTTCTGCCTACATTAAAATATGTAAAGATACTGTGAAGTCAAGTCGTTACCTGAAGCCTCTCTAATTTGGCTGCAGCACGTTGCTTATTGGCCAACTTCTCAAACTCTCCTTTTTCATGGAAGTTGAACCCTCTCTTCTTACGATCGGCCGCACGAGCATGAATTCTAGGATCGAGGAAAGCCATAAATTTGTCTTTTTCTTCCTTAGGGAACTGAATCAAGATGTAAGAATAACTTGACAAAATCACTTACATGTTCCTCTTTCTTGATAATGTCATCTGTGACTTCCGGTAGGGGTGCCATGACAGGAGCATTCTGTTGGCTGTTCACGATTGAGTTAATAGTTTTATTAGCTGATAATTTTGCCTGGAAAAATCGAATGTAACAGAGTGAAAGTGAAAAATATCACCTTCAACTCCTCCACACGGTTCTTCTTGTTAATAGCGAAATCCATGAAGATTCTAGCTTCCTGAATGATTTACGTGAACCATGTAAGAAATGGAAACGTACCTCCGGGCGTAAAGGTACACTCTTCGTGGAATTAGCAGGAGGAAGAGCTCCTTGTGGTCCTCCTGTCATTTTTCTTTTCCTTTCTTCAATTTCTTGCTGTGCTTTATACATCAACTCCTTCGTTCTGGAGGAGAAAAACACTGCTTATTAATCCCAATTCAAATACTCAAAACCTCAGTGTATCTTCAGAAACAACTTCGCTGCGGTTTCTGTCGTCATTATCCGATCTTCTATTGTGACCGTCATGGGAGAGAACTCTAAATCCTTGTGCCCTCTGCAAAAAATGATCCAATCAAAACTTTAGCTGCAAAACTCACTCGTTCATCCTGCTCATTATATCTAACTCTTCTACGATCACGATCACGATCGCCCCTGTCACGGTCACGATCACGATCGTCTCTACGTTTGGCAGGTCTATTATCATCCTTAGATTCTTCGAACTGTAAAAGCAATATCAATCTTTGAAAAAAAGCAAGTACAAACTCTATTTCTCTTCCGGAACTGCGCATAAGTGTTGCTAACAGCGCTAATCACTTTGTGAGCTTTGTGAGAATCAGAGACGATATCTAACACCCGATCCTAAAAAAGAAAACTTGAATTTGAACTAACAGATCTTCAATTACCCTCATCTTTTCATAATCGTATCCTTTCTTCACACATCGTTCTACGGCTTCTTTGACCTTATCGCGATCTTCTCTACGTGATAAATATTTCTCGCAGATTTCCGTAACATCTTCCCTGCCCATCTGAACATTGGAGATTGAGAAGACGACAAACAGAATACTGTTGAAGTACTGAGTAGGAGTTGAAAACTCATTTGGAAAACTGAACGATGTCACAAAAACATTTATACACAAACTAGATATATATGAAAAAAATTTGAGAAAACTAAAATTCAGTGGAAACAAGCCGTTATTCGTGAAGCTTTTGTCCTAATTATGTTTTTTGACTAACTCAAAAATGAGTAAAAAGAAGTTCATAAAAACTATGAGATCATTTTCCTCACAAACAAGGGTAAGTATATTAATTGCTGTTGATTGCGTTAGGGTGAGGGGGTCATTTCCTCTAGACTTCTCCGTTTCTTAGCATTTTTAAGAAGCTGTTGCAGAGAATTCTTATCCAGCTTATCCTCCTGATTCTCATTGGAATCACGAGTGTTCTCATCTTCTTCTGAAAGGACAATATCATAAGCTACGTCAACAATCTTTTCAAACCTTCGATCTGCCCTTTAATGCCTCCAGTAACTTGCTTTTCAAGTTTCAGTTTTTTCTGAGCCAGAACAAGCATACCTCCCTATAACGCGAAACTTGAAGCAAGTTATGAACACGATTTGCACCTCAACAGTTCCTTTACTTATCAATCTTGTCACATAAACAGGCTTCTTCTGCCCCATGCGATGGCAGCGGTCTTCTGCCTGTTTATCGTTGTACGGATTGAAGTCAATATCGTGTAAAATAATGTGGTTAGCTGATGTTAAATTAATTCCTAAGCCTCCAGCTTTTGTAGAAAGAAGGAAAATAAATAAATCAGGGGTTGAGTTGAACTCATTAATCATCTCTTGTCTGAAGCACAAGACGAGTAAAAATCAGAGTTCGAATCGACTCACCTATCCATAACAGGAGTTTGGCCATCCAATCGTTTAAATTCATAACCTCGGATTCGCAAATACACCTCTAGGATGTCCAGCATCGAAGTAAATTGAGAAAAGATCAAACATTTTTCTTCCTGCAGTAAAAACATTGAAAAAAATCCTGAGGAAGCAAACTAACCTTTTTCTTGATCTCAGGAAGCATTTTATCCAATTGCTTGCATTTTCCAGATTCTAGTACAAGATTTTCATCCAACAAAAACTTCTGTGTGCTTTTGTATTTCTCACACAACTGATGTAATTGGAAATCACTTGAGAAAGAAAGATCTTCGGAAACATGTTCCCAGCGTTTCTTCTCGTATTGTTTTTCCTACGATTGGTTACAGTTCATATGAAACTTCAATCGATGAATACCTTCGCACACAGAGCTTTCGCGATCTTATCTAAAGTCTGCTCATCATAAACTACGCGAGTAAGAAGAGGATGATTAGATGCTTGTCTTAATCTCATTAAGACTCCATAAGCATTACTGGTGTCACCATCAACATTTCTTACACTGAGAGAAATCATTACAAACTGTCAAAAACAAAAACAACAACCTATCTAGGATATTCTCATAGTTGTCATTCTGCTTTTCTAGCAGATCCACCTCAACCACCTGTTCATGCTTAGGAGGCAAATTAGATAAGACCTATTATAAAGCTACAAAAAGGTTTCGCACGTTCGATACTACCTGAGCCTTCAGTCGTCTAAGAATGTAAGGCTGCAGAATTTGTTTTGCCTGCTCAATTCTATCACTCTGATACATGGCAGCAGTCGTAGCTTCAAGAGCAGGACCTTGCTGGAAAGATAAAATAATAACTAGACGATACATCAACTTGAACGAACTTGTTTGAAGTGAGATAGAAGCTGGGAAATGTCTTCGCAATATTTGTTAAAAACTTTTGTGAGAACAAAATACATTAAAGAAATTAGCTCGATGAGATTATTTTGCAGAGGTGTACCAGTAAGAAGGATTTTCCTTTTACCCTGAATAGATGATTATCATAAGGAAGAAGAAGAAATGAACTCTTACCCGAACTTTCATGAGATTTCTGTAACGCTCCGTACTACAGTTCTTGAGCATATGGCCCTCATCATAAATGACATAATTTATACTGAAGTTTTTGAAAAACTTCTTATCATCATGCTTTGATGCAACCATATTGTACGTTGTTAGAACAACATCAATCTGAAATCAGAAGACAGTGAAAGAAATATAAAAATTTAAACAAACATTTGTTTTTCTTTTCTTTGCCATATGACGAAGTTGTTTTCGCTCATCCTGGCTCCCGTAGTAAGTAAGAAGCTAAGTTCACAGATTATGGAATGTCAAAACCTTTTCAAATACCTTTAATGATGGACACCATCGAGAAATTTCCCCCATCCAATTCTCAATTGTAGAGGAAGGCACCACGATGAGATGGGGACCTGCTACTTTCTCTTCCTTCAGCTTAGCGATGAAAGCAATGATTTGAATAGTTTTTCCGAGACCCTACAAAGAATTAATATGAACATAGCTTCACAGACATGAATGAAACCATTTCATCTCCTAAGATACAATTAAAGCCTTTCTGATGCATCATATAGAGCCAATTAACTCCAATCAGCTGATACTCGTGTAAACTATATCTGAATGGGTTAAAGATCACTACTTCAAAGAACAACTTTGTTATCTTACCCTTCTTGTAAAAGAGAAGGTTGAACCCGTCCTTCTGTAGACCTCTCGTAATCCTTTTCGATTGATTCAGCATGGCCACGACAATCGTATAAAATTTTTTCCAAAACTCCTCGATTCTCCAAATATTCCTCATATGCATCTAAGACTGATTTGCCTCTTGAAACTTCATTCAAACAAACTGACTGGAATGGGGATGTTACGGTAAGAAAAAAAAATATAGAACTTACTAATAAATAGTAGCTTTCGAACGGACGATTGGATAAGATAGTTTGGCAAATTTTTTCGGTAACCCGAGGTGTAGCGAGTAACTCTTGTTCTGTAGCTTTGTTGAAGAAAGCTCTAGCATCCATTTCATTCCGAGATTCTTTGCGGTTTGCTTTACGTTCATCAGCCTGAAAAAAAGTTCACATCAATAAAAACCCAATGAATATACTAACGTCACTATCATCACTGGGAGTAGTTTCGCGACGATCACTGTCTTCATCATCAAGAAACTCTTCTTCTTCACTCTCATCGTTAGACTTCAGTTTATGTTTTAGAGCATCCTTGGCTACTGACTTTAATGTTGATCCACCCTTCAACAAGAGATAATTACTTGTACGTAAGGCTCTATACTTACAGCTTCTGTATCCTCGCCACTCTCATCTGATAAAACTATTTTCCTCTTGGGAACTTTTGGTTGAGAAACCTTAGTATTGATCTATCAAAAGAAATATAAGCAGAAACTACTTAACTCTCTTACTTTTTTGTTTACGGGCTTTTCTATCTTTCCATTACCGAGTATGTTAGGCTTTCCTAGCCACTCTTCTTCTTCACTAGACTCTGATAAAGTCCGTTCTTTCCTATAGTTATTTTAATAATGAATTGCTTTCTAATTATAATAAACCTTGTTAATGTAGGTTGAACAACTTTAGCAGGTTGAGGTTTAACAGTTTGAGGCTTGCTGGGTGGTCTAAACTAGTTTTACAGATAAGCTATTCAACCTGACTTACTTCTTCCTTTTACGATCTTCTTCCTCACTCGAAACAAACTCATCTTCTTCTTCAGCTTCGCTTTCATCATCAATAAATTCTTCTTCTTCATCCGATTCAATTTTCAGCTTTGATTTTTTTGCTGTGCTTGCTAAAAGTACGGTAACTGAAGGATTGTATTAATTCATACCTTTGACAGGAGTTCTCTTCGAGGACCCAGTAGACACCTTAGCAGCAATCTATAAGTACTGATTTGCTTGGATATATACACTTCAAGCCTACTTCTGCTAAGCACTGTCTTTTTTGTTCGAGTGACTTAAGAACAGAAGAATTAAACACCGGCTGATGCGCAACTCTGGACTTTCGTTCGCTAGCGAACGACATTGCACTTAAAAACACGTATATTACAAGTTATTAGTTGAGTAAACATGTGAAACAAAAACTCAGAGAAGAAATGAGAAATAAACTTATCGGTTATAAGGTTAGTTAAAAAAGCTAAACTTCTTAGTATTCAATAAATCGTTATTCAAGAGGTTATTTTCGAATACCCCTTTGAAAAAGGGGGACACTACAGTATCTCCCGTTTTCGGTTTGGAGCATCGTTAGAAGAAAAAACATTTTCAAAAAAAAAAACTTGAGTACTAGTTAATATATGAATATAAAATCGTAATTAATCTCATTATTATTATGAGAATTAATTTTTTGAACTATGAAAATTGATTTTCCTCATTTATATTCAAACATCGTAATCGATTAGCATGAGCGCAGTTCTTTTTATGATAAACACTAAAAAAATCTTTGTCATACACTGAGTTACATATTCTTTGAAGTTAGAAATGCCACGTGGCTACATTTACATCTTGCCTTGTTAGCTAATGCGGTCGTACGCATCACTTTTAGCCTGTGCGAGTGCGCTGAGCGGTTGCTTCAAATCTTATTTGTTGTATAATCTCAAACCCTTGTAGAACATTTGTTTCATAGGGTCTTGCTTAGTTCTCTCTAACTACAATCAATGTGATATCGTGTAAATGTAAAGTAATTGTAGGATGGCTGATGTTCAAGCTAATATGCCAGAACTGATAAATTCGCTTGAGAATCTGTTAACTGCAAAGAAAAACCTTTTGCAATCGGTTTTCACACAATTGTCGACAGAAGAACAATTCCGGAATCGAGCACAAATTAGAGATGTAAACAAAGAATTGGCGGAAATCGCAATTTTGTTTTCTTGAAGGTTCTAGAAGTTACTCCTGTGAAAACAGTTAATGATGGGATACAATACCGTATGATTCGAACTCTTGGGTTTGAAGACAGGGTTCACGTAGAAATAGAGATAATCAACAACTCGAATGATTACCATGTGTAGGTAAATGGTGGGAAAGTTTTTCAAATTTTATTCTTAGCTCCCCCAATGCTTACATCTTGCTGAACAACAGCGAAGCCAAGTGTATTCTCGAAAATGACAAGAAAGAAAGAATAAGTAATATCAAGTGAATTCCTAATTTCCATGAAAGTTCATTTGGAAGTATGTTTCAGACCACTTTCTAAAGCCATGTTTTTCGTTTCTTTTCCATCCCATTTACTTTACAATAGTGGAAATGTTCATTTGGCTGTCGAGTATTATTTGGAAGAATCAGGGTGAAAAGCTTTTTTTTGCATATTCATCAAGAATAGATGAAGTTCAGTACTTTCTCATGTCTGAAAGCCTGTCCGCGGTTTGAGGAAAAGAAAAGATTGGATGGATCAGTTTTTGAAATAGAAAGACCAATGCACTGGAAGTGTTTGGATGATCTTTTCAGGGTTGACGAACGAGGTTTTCATTTTGTAAGGCTTATTCGGATAAAATGTTTATAGAAGCAAAAGAACTTGTACATCTTGCTTCACTAGTTCTCTTCTCTGAAACGTTTTCTTCGTTATCCTTGTTTGCTTTTCGGACAAATTTCTCAATGTTCCAAGCTATGGATTTCGGGAGTTGGCAGGTAAGAAGGAAGCACAGGATCAGTTAGAAACAAACTTTGTTGCCAGTGTTACATAGGATGCGATGAATACAAAGGCTTAATAGTTACAAATTCATGCGGATCTTATGGTCAAGTCAATCTTGTGTATGGGAGGTTCGTCAGAATTTCAACACAATACGCTCGTAATTGCTGAAATTCAGAGATTGTCGGACACTGCAGGCCATTGTAGCTCGCTTGGAAAAACTCTCAGCTTTGAAATGACGACATATTCAATAAATAGATTTTATTACTATGTATGATTGTTATTATATGGAGTCCATTGAGCATTGGAATGTATTTTTCTGAGATCTTTATCCCTTATCTTCTGTCGTTTTCCAATTTACCTGCACGAGGTGAAAATGACGACGTTCGTTGAATATTTCTGAAGATATATGATCAATGTTATGAGATTTGAGTAGCAGAAACCTATGATTTTGAGGAATGTTCAGACTATTCGTATCATCAGCTTTATCTGCACTCGAAGAATTGCGTTGACTAAAAACAAAATTTCCCGCAGTCAAGTCTGCCAAGTGATGCGAATAGTTATCTGAAGGAAGATGATATTATTGTTCTTCTCAATATAAGTTACCGATGAATGTACAATTCCTACGTCTACCACCAGAGACTGATATTATCCTATCAGGATCTACACCCGCTCCCGTATATACAGCTACATCCTAAAACAGCTTGTGTACGTTTGGGTTTAGAAATAGAGGAACGTTACTTTTCCGCTTCCATAGGCTACATGTATTCTTATGGACATATCAATTAGTTGCTTCAAATGCATCGTTTTTTGTCTCAATGGTTCCGTAGAGAAAGAAGCATTGAAAAACAGAAGCCCATGAGGGAAATTATGATGAGCCAACCAAGCAGATAAAGCTCTTTGTTGCATATCCGGTCTTGCCGTCAAATAAATAATGACATAACCCTGGAACAGATATTATCTGTCGAATTCAATATCGTTGAACTAGTACCTGTTCATGCCAATAACGAACAACATCTACAGCACCAGGCCTAACTTTAGGATCTTTGCCCGTAACTGATATAGAAGCAGTTAAAGATCCATCAACAGAAAAAACGACGCATCGCGTATCTTTCGGAACAACAGCAAGAAAAACATCCAAATACGATCGATCGCCATGAACAACAATCTGAAAGAATAATTACTCTGTTTGAAAGAAACGTCAACAATATACTTTAATATTATGTACACCACAAGGTAGAGATTGAGGCATTGCAAGATGAAGCCGGCCATGAGAATCAGTTTCGTAAGTCCCCACTTTATACCAATCACCTCTGAAAAAAACAAAGAATTAGATGTGAAAAATTGTTTTTTAAACCTTTGAGGACAAACATAGACGGTGACGGATTCCCTAGTAAGAGCAACTAAATCCATTGGTCCATAGAAAAACTTGGCATGAATGTTTTGCTCTAATCCGTTGATGACTAAAACATCGTTAGCCCTATGATTTGGAGAAAGATTAGCCGTCTATAATAATTTGTTGTTTTTAAACAACACCGAATGCTTTGTAAACCTTAAATCTCGTTCTTCTTTTTCTCCATTGCATTGGTGGCAGAGGCAGATTCATGGGAATGGAATTCATACTAGCAGATAATGTTGTCAGTATTGCTTCTTCCCCTCTGACAAATTGTCTTAAAATGAAAGCTGCGACATCCAAAGATTCCCAATATGAAGCGTGAAGGATGTTCGGAAGAGCTGTTGACGGCAATGCAATCATTGCTGAATATGGAAGAATATTAAAAACCACGAGGAAAATAATTAACCATTAGGGCAATAGAGAACATGGTCCATGCGCTTTGTTCCCCACATTCTGTTCAAGTCAATGGAAGAGTCAAAGGAAATGTTTTTGCCATCTCCAAGAGGATATCGTTGGTACCTTAGAAGACCTTATATTTAAAATTACTTCTGTTATGATTTACTTTGGAATGTTTGCCGGTGGGACAAGATTCAATTGAGAATTCAGAACGGGCTCCACTCTAGAGCCACATGGATCGAACGGATAATACAAGTTGAAAAGCTGACAACTATCAAGATTTTCCACATCTTAGAATGAGGCATTTGTTATTCAATTTTCTAATTTTCTTAATTTCTTTGTCTCTTACCTAATCCTGCTAATTTTCTTTGAGTTAGTACTAATCCGAGAGGACAACCCAAGAGAAATGCATTTGCCGGATGAAAAGCTAATCGAGAAGTTATCTGAAATCTCCGAGTAATTAGATGAAACAAAAGAAAAGAGGTTAGAGAAACTCCAAGTATTAGCGAAAAACTAAGTGAGATAGCTCAGAAAACCACTCGTGCACAATCGCAAAGATTTGCAGACAATCTTTTTTCATCAATGCATTCGCAGCACTTCTCAAGTTCATAAAGCCTTACGTTTATTGAATCTACTGATATCGCTCCGATTGATATTTTTTTCTTTGTATATCCAGCAGATGGAGGGGCTGAGAGCGTACGTGGAGACCTGGGTGGCATTTGATGCACTGGAGTTTGGTGAAAAACGGAAATTGAACGTATATGTTCATGACTCTCATCAAGTGAAGAAGAACAATCTCTTGGTTCATGCATAGAGCGACGAGAAACAAACGAAGAAGATGCAGTCTGGAAAGCGCAACATGCCATACACGAGAAAATCTCTTGCTAATCGGAAAACGGAAAAAGAGATAATCGAGAAAACTACCTCTTCCTGTCCTTCGGGAATTGTTCGAGTAGAAACTGAACTGGAATGGCGGGTCATTGTTAGCGGCAACATTTCATTGCGAGTAGTCATGGCTTCATATAGGAACAAGCCACCAACAGAGTCTCCAACAACAAAAACCTGAGGCAAGAATCATTTTCTTGGAATTCCGGTAAGTGTTTACTTCGCCACTGAATGATGGTTGCGATTCCAAATATTCGATATAAGTATCATTTGCCCTACGAATTGTTCCTTCAATAGCCTGAAGCAATCAAACATTTCATAAAAAACAATATAATTCAAAAAACCTCATTATATTGCGCATGAGCGGAAGAAAGGATCAGAGAAAGAGATGGATGTAAGAGACCAAAAGAAGGTGAGATAGCTGTTAGTTTACTGACAATGCTACTCAATTCTCGACCACATGACACTAATTGTATATGAACACGTCCCTTTAGTTGCGGATAATGTCTGTTTATCAAAGAATCTATCGTAGACCTGAAAAACCTTTCTTCTCTCCCAATATATCATTACCACTGTACTTGAAAGTGTTGGTGTCAGTCGTTTTGCTATCAGCTGGATTTTCAGGAGAGAAATCCCCATGAAAAACTAAAACCAGCAGAGCTGTTTCAGCTGCTGCCGAAGGAGTAGCTGGAGGCGATCCTATTTGAGAACTTAATTATAACTTTCAGACTGAATTATAAAACCTTCATCTTGATGATCTAATTCCACCTCAGAGCTCCATCTTATAATTGAAGGAGGCTTCGAGCCAGGCGACGGGCCTTCGATACAATCATAAAACAAATCATCATCTTCTTCAGATTCATCCATTTCATCTTCTTCCTTATTTTCTTCCCTGCAACAACACACAATCGAATCTCCGTTTAGGAATTTTCTTCTGGAATTTTCTTTTATTCGCTCTTTCTCTTCCATTCCGCTTCATCAATTGAAAACAATTACCAAATGTCAGAAAAAAAGCTATTTAGAATAGAAACCCACTTCCACCACTAGTTAAATCTTATATATGCAGTTTATTATTCCACTGAAGCGCAAGAGAATCGAAAATTTGTAAGAACCAAAAAATATTCTAAATAGATCATTTCACGTGGCACGTGGAAATTGAAAATGCAAATCGGTTATTTCGTGAGCAAAAAGCGCAAAAAGCGGTTGAGAACGTGAGAGCTTGGAAGTTATAAAAATGAGTTAGTTGTCTTGATTGAGGTTTTCATGTACACATTCAGTTTTCTCACAATTTAAAAATTTTTTTTTCATTTTTTTCTTTGAAGCCTGTGAGAGGAGATGAATAAGAAAATTCAGAGAGCTGTCATTAGATGACTTTCACTACGCTTTCCTGCATTGATTGTAATTTGAGAGAGCTTTCAAAATAATCGGTTAGACGTCTCTAACATACATTATATCTCAACTACTTAAACATTTGTTCATCACGGAAATTAGCTCGTTGATCATAATACTAATAATATTACCCGGTGGCCATAACAGCTGATAGATGAAGAGCAGCTTCAGCTTCGAGATGTCGGATATCTTTCATTGTTAAGCCCACCCATTCATCTTGCCAAGCCCAAGCTTGACGATGAGCTCTGAGCATAGTACCACGTAAAGCAAGGTCATGAATCCAACGTTCAGCTCTGGTCTAAAAATGGAAACACATGTCGTTGAGCACGTTAAGCACTCTAAATTTACTTGTAAACCCCAATATTTGAACTCAACGCGACACAATTTATATGCACACATAATAGGTTTCCCTGCAATGTGCTTTCAATTATATTGCTTCTTTTTTCGGAACAATACCTAATCGAATGTGTTCTTGGACCCAGTCATCTGCTAAAGGTCCTCTACCTGTGCTTTGACTCTTATACAACTTAGGATCTTCTTCAATGCAATAGTCATGAGCAGATATGGGATCCTATGAATATTCATTTTTGCAAATGTCGCTTCCTCGTTATTCTCACTTTCACGAAATCCATTACATCGATGATTCTCGTTTTCAATTCATCTTCCGACAAATTGAAGACATTTTCTTGATTTCCTTCGTCGTTAATGTAAACGGTCTCGACCTCAACACTAACGCGATCCATCATAGGCGTTGAATACCTATGGAAAAGGGGAAAAAATTGTGTAATTGGAAAAAAAGGATCTGGAATCAACCTTGTTTTTGTGAGAGGATAAGCATTCCATGCTTCTTCATGGGCTTCTAAAGCATTTGTTGGCAATACGGTTCTAATCCATCCTTACAATGGGAGTATGTTTAGCATGACGTATATCACTGACAGGCGGAATTACCTGGTATTTTGCTTCCAATATGATAAATTTTGAATGTGTATTGGCCCTGCCCACCAGGACCTTCATAATACGGCTTATTTGTGATAATTTCAACACCGCTATCTTTGCCATGTGAATCGAGTCGACTTTTCTTCTAAAAACAATAATCTTTAGCGAATATTGATTGTTCACGACACAGATATTTACAGCCGAAAGTACTGATGGTTCTCATGAACTTCTGCAACTCCCCTACTACACCTATCATTGACAAAATGAAATGTTTAGAAGAACTTCCAATTAAAAGATAAAATAGAAATATTCAACAATCTGGTTTCCTCTATCCTTGGAAACAATTTGTAAACTTTCACTAATACCTAACAAAGTAAACTATTTTCGATTTTCTCACGACAAAACGAGGCAAGAGGGTAGAGAACGAGTCATTTAGTGTGTTCTGATCACAAATTTGCTCTTGCTCACAAACGTATAACTTCTATTGCACTGCGAATTGGACGCATTTCAAACCAAATAAACTCTAAAGAAGAGAACAACCTCAGAAGACAGAGACTTGAAGACATCGGAGCACCAGTTTATTTGTCCTCAAACCTCCAATCGAATGTTGGCTGGGTGATGAAGCATCGCTAATCCGTGACGGCAAGAAAAATTATTCACCCCACAGATGATACTAGTCTTTCGAAAAAAAAGCCTCTTAGCTCCATTTTTTAGGAAAAGATTGACAATGACAATTATCAGACAATCTAATCGCTAAATGACAGCCATATATGGCATTTTTATTTTTTTAAAAAGCAAATTGACATATTCACCACAACTTTCATCAGACAACTAGTTCTATTAATCTGCACATCGGCCACCTCGCTGACGTTACGAATTTGAAAATCAGAACTTTCCAAATTCGCAGAGGAAAAAAACAATTTCATTTCTATGAAAAAAAAAGATTCATGCCTCCCAGGCACTCAGAAAGTTGAAGTGGTTCTTTCGCCTTCAAAAAGCCACTCACAATCACATGCATCATGCCATAACATGACCTTGAATAGAATTCAAATTAACAGGAACAATAGAGTCAACTGTTAAAAAAGTGCTTAAAGCTTATCATCTGTCCATATGTGGAAAGAGAATTAAAAATTATTGCATATGCTTATCTATGAATTTAACATTGGTAAATCGCTAGGCAAAACATATATTATCCCATTTTATTCCCACGCTTAACATCAATCATCTCTTTAGATCAGACGAGAAACATATGAATACACAAACATATGGAATTAATTGTACCTGAATCATATAAAGCTGCGCAATGCGATACTCGTCCACAGTCATAGGGAGGAGTATTCGATACTCCTTGATCAGCATAGTGACAGATTTTCATAAAAGGCATTACGACATCTCAAAGTGGCAAAAAAACTAGGTGGGAATCAGTGAATTAAAATATCGCAGAACTTGATGAAGAAGCTGGAACACAGAGCAGCTACTAACCGAGCTTGGCCGAGCCCATATCTGCATGAGCGGGCGGCCAAGTCACGCCCACTTGCCGCCACGCGTCAATAATATGCTGTGCAATGCGAAGAAAGCCTATATAGGAACAAAAGAAATTAATCATTTGAAAATATAAAAGACTTCAAACATTTACAAAAAAATAAGGAAAGAAGTGTAGAGAACTGAAAAGGTATCGAATTTTTGGACTTTTTGTAAAAAAAATTAAAGGTTGATTTGAAACCTGCTCCAATTTTTACAGTACCTCTCCCAGCCTAGCCGAAAAGAAGATTTCAAAAACTCCACTGTTACATCCCGGAGTTTAAAAATTTCAAAAAAACTTGTAGTCATTTTCTAATGTATTTTAAACTTTTAATTATTGCTTCCTTCCAATGTTTTTCAACCTGAACATTTCATTTTCGTTGTTGTCTCTGCTTGTGCTTATATTTCGTTAATGATTTTAGAATATGGCCGTAATCACCGATAATTCTGGGATTAAACCGGAATCAGACACAAGTGGTGCTGGAATAGTAGAAATGTCTGTTGATGATTTAGACAGGTACAATATTAGTTAATTTGTGAATTGTGTATTTCGCAACACACGAGTACTGATACGATTTGTAATTTACCACCTCCAGGCATATAGAGAAGTTGATGAAATGTGAACTCATATCGGAACAAGATGTCAAATCATTATGCGCCAAAGCTCGAGAAATTCTTGTGCAAGAAGGAAATGTTCAAGCCATTGATTCTCCAGTCACGGTTTGTTCTTTTTTCTGTGTTTAACCAAGTTTACAACTTCCTTTTTCAGATATGCGGAGATATTCATGGTCAATTTTACGACCTAATGGAACTTTTCAAAGTAAAAACGGTTTTTTTTTCGAAATTTCATAATTCTTTTCCAGGTTGGAGGTCATATTCCAGACACTAACTATTTGTTTTTGGGTGATTTCGTTGACCGAGGATTCTACTCGGTTGAAACTTTCTTGTTATTGTTAGCCTTAAAAGTTAGATATCCCGATCGTATGATGTTAATTCGAGGAAATCACGAAAGTCGTCAAATTACTCAAGTGAGTTTCACTCCAGTCAGTGTTTACTAACACCTTTACTTGTTGAGGTTTATGGATTTTACGACGAATGTATGAGAAAGTACGGAAGTGCTGCCGTGTGGAAGTATTGTACTGAAGTCTTCGATTATCTCTCTTTATCCGCTGTGATTGATGGAAAAGTTAGTAGCAATTTCATGTTCTCAAATATTTTTTTCTTCTACAGGTATTCTGTGTTCATGGAGGTCTCTCTCCTTCTATTCAAACCCTTGATCAAATTCGCGTTATTGATCGCAAACTTGAGGTTCTTTCAAAATATTATCTTGCCTCCTCGTGACTAGTTATGTTCAGGTTCCTCATGATGGTGCTATGTGTGATTTATTATGGTCTGATCCTGAAGATTCTGCCGTGGGATGGGGAATGAGTCCTCGAGGTGCTGGTTACCTCTTTGGCAGTGACGTTGTTAAAGTAAGTCTATTTAGAATTATTCATCTAATTCATCTCCTTGAGACTTTTTGTGAAAATAATGATGTAGAGCTCATTTGCCGTGCTCACCAATTAGTCATGGAAGGGTATAAATGGCATTTCAATGAAAGTGTTCTAACAGTTTGGTCGGCTCCAAACTATTGTTATAGGTATAGATAGGTTTCTCGAAACTTATTCAAAACTTGTTATGTTTGCAGATGTGGAAATGTAGCTGCTATTCTAGAGTTAGACGAACACCTAAACAAAGATTTTACGATATTCGATGCAGCTCCTCAGGTACGTGTGTCTTCAGTCTTCCGAATGCTTACTTTTGATCTTCTAGGAAAACAGAGGTGCACCGACGAAGAAACCGCAACCCGACTACTTTTTATAACTAATACATTTTCAATAGAATATTGTACTTTTTCAACGATCTGTGTGAATATTGAACTACTTTTATTTTTTTCTTCCGAACTAATGTATGCTCACCATACGAATATCTGCTATATAATCTTTGTGTCATAAATTCACTTCGAATCCTTTTTAGTTTTTTGAAATGTCTTCGGGTCCTCATGGGGAGCGTCATGAAGCTGAGAAGGAGAGTGAGGTATTCTTCCATCTGCGAATGCTGCGACGTTATAATTAGTTTAGATTTTCCGAAATTATTTGGAACGTCAGGGAGTGATGGAGACATGGACTCAGATTTTAGCTGAATTGTATGAGAGGCCTGAGAAAGACAGACCCAGCGATGTTGTTGCTTATATTAGTGATGTGAGTCTGGTCTATTCATGATTTTATTTCTTTTTTCTTAAGCGATTGTCGGCGACCAAAGCTGATACTATCAATTACGAGGCGACGCAAACAGTTTCGAAGGAGCTGAGGAACAAGGTGAGGAAGGCTGTGACTCTTTATTAATATTGTATTCACTTCAGGTGAATGATTTGTTGAAAGAAAACAAAAAGCTTCGTGAGAAAATAGAAGAACTTGAGAATCGTCATTGAGAGTGGCAAAGCGAATTGTTGAGAATTGTTATTGTTTTTACTTTGTTATACTCATATCCAACCTGTCCATGCATAATCTGATCTCATAAAAAGTTTTTTTTTCGAAAGAAAAATGTATTCCTACAAGTTTTTGCTCAATAATCTATCTGGCATTTCAAAAGTATCACGATGATGTTTATATGGAGGCTAATGTTATTATAGATGTTGCGTCTTCTTCCTCAGTCCGTCAGACTTGGAGTTCGTAGTTTCTCCTCAGCCTCTCCTCTTACTAGTGAGCTTAAAACGAAAATAGATAATATCGTTAAAGTTCGTGATTCCTCACCCCACACATTCCAATCATTCCTATTTTAAGACTGATGATGTCGTGGTTTTCATGAAAGGAACACAAAAAGAGCCTATGTGTGGCTTTTCACGTAATGTGAAACTTGTATAGAATCGTTGAATGACAGAAAGAGAACAAGAATTCTTTCAGGTGCTTGACTACCATGAGGTTAAATTCAGGGATTTCAATGTGCTCGAAGATGCTGAACTAAGAGAAGGCATCAAAACGTACAGTGAATGGCCTACGATTCCTCAGGTTTCATTTTCCCAAGCTTAATGCTTTCCATTCGTGTTCATTTAGGTTTATGTGAAAGGAGAATTTGTAGGAGGTTGTGATATTTTGGTTCAGATGCACAAAGAGGGAGAGATCAGGTTGGTTTACACATTAATTCTGTTGTTCTTGAACGAGTTGTTTCAGCGATTTCTTCGATGGCAAAAAAATACCAAACAAGTACGGAAACATCCAATAATTATTTCCGAAAACGTTGTTGATTGTAATAGTTGAACTTGAGATAGTTATGAGATTATAAGATAAAGTTTATATTAGATTTCGTGATTACGATATGTGAATAGTCAGAGACGTAAAAGTCATTTTGAGCAGGAAGTCATCACTTTAATCTGCTTATAATAACATTATGATAAGTGCATTATTCCTTATGCCTATTTTAGTCAATATTTCGGAATGCCTCACATTTTTCTGTGATAACGAATTATTCTCCCTATAAAGAAGAAATTCTTGATATCACTTCATCAATACATTCCTTTTATATATTCATAGTTGACGTCTATTTATAAGCTGATACCCCCACTCTTCTTATAATTTTTATTTTTAGCATGTTTGTGCTTCTCTTTCTACTCATCCCAGTTCTGAGCAGCATATCTGCCAAACCTTTGCATTCACTTGTTCATGACATTTCTGATGATACTTGGAGGTAAGATCTCACTGATAGCCTCGCTCATCATCATTTCAAGCTCACGTGATGAAGATTTCTTGAACGCTGAAGTTGTACTTGAAAATCTGATAGAAGAAATTAGCAAAGACAAGAATGATCTTGCTATTGAAGATTTTCCTCAACAACCACCAGGTAATTCACATGACCATATATTGCTTTATCGACCAATTTCTATTTGCAGAGCTCAACCATGAAATGATGAATTTCATCGAGGATTATCATCGCACTTTCTCCAACCATCTTAGCGATGGGTCGAACTTTAGACCCGGGCGTTAACAGTATGAGCTTGTAAGATAATTGCTTTGTTCATCGTGAAATAAATCCTCGTTTCAGAATTTCGATACATCGATCTCTAAGTAAAGGAAAGGAACATAAAAAGATTTTTGAACTAAAAAATATTTCTTATTGCACGAGCTACCATAATGCTTTAACATTGTAAATTTCTCTTTGTTTGTGTCTTGGATGATCATTGCATTCAACGTGTAATCGCCCGTCGACTCTCACGAAATAGCAGCTCCTACATCTTAACTTTATTTGGGCTTTTACCTTAATTGCTGATATGAGATCGAATTTGTGAAATGAAAAACCTTGAAGCCTGCGCTCGATTGCAACATTGTGCTTTGGTTGACTAAAACTGATCTCAGAAGCTTTGTACCCATGTTTAATATCGAAGAACTCATGATCTTAAAAAAACATAATTAAAGAAGCTTGAAGCATACGATTGAAATAAATTGTTAAAACAAAATTCTGTAAATTGAGCAACAATAAAATCTTCACAAGGAGCAAGAGAAATCATTTCAGAAAATACGCAAATTCTCGTGAGCGTTTAATTAACAGATAAGATTATTCTATGGCATGTCGTTATGAAGTAATCGTTTAATTTTTGATCCTTTTTCACACGTTATTCGAAAAGAATGTTGGCTAACACCCATAGTTCGAAGTATATGAGAGATTTGGCTTCATTTGTTCGCTTGATGACGCACAGCTACGTCTCTTTCTTGTTTCATACCTTATTCCCAGTCGAGTAAAACTCTTCCGCTAAATAAGAATATGGGAATTTCGTTTAATCTTCCAGGAATCTCATTTCCCATAATATTGCACAAAAAACTACTTATTTTACATATACTTTTTTACTTTCAAATTTATTCGTTTGACAACGTTCGATGAGAATTCTTGAATACCTACACGGCTGCAAGAAAAGGTTTCTAACAAAAGCTAGACAGAAATGAATCTAACCAAGGAACACACTTCATTCCTATGGATGAGAGCACCTACGTAAAGTAAAGTTCAAGGAATGTTCTTAACATCCTCGTTTAGTAAATGAGTAGCTCTCCCCCTCAAATATGAGAATTAAAAAGATAATTAATAGTACATTCATGCATTTCTGAACGAAATAATGCAAACTGATTCTAATTGTTATATCTTTATGAATTTATTATAGTTATGACTTCTTCCTATCTTATTTGACTCGTCATTTTAGGTCATGTGGGAAGGGTTGTAATACTAATCGCGATTATGAGTTGTTTTTCCCCTTTGAACTGCTAATTGATTACAGTTAGGCTCGCACGAATTATGAGTTTCCTATTAGGCGCCCCATTGCGATTTTCTGCCCTATTGACAATTTTTGAAATTTCATTTTCATTTTCGAAGCTTCGCATGCGGTTGACTATGTGCTGAGTTCTATTACATGTTTCACTGCAATACTTGTAGGGATGTTCCGACGACCCGCGAGTGACGATTCTGATGATGACATAGACTCTCGTGTTGTAAAAGCCAAACTTATTCCACAGAAATATGCTAAGAAGCTGGGTGCAGACTATGGTAGAGGCAAAGTTAGTACATGAGAATTTAAATACTTTATTCATCTTTACAGGATTTCGTGGTAGGAAGTGCACATTCTCAAAAAGAATTAGCTGGCAGTCAACAAACTAGAAATGATATACTCGGTGAAAAGGAAGCATTAACAGAAGATGAGAGAAACAAAATAAATGCTAAAATACTGAAAGCAGAGATGAAAGGGGATATGGTTTGTTATATCATCAAGTTGTTTCTGATTGCGGTTTTACTAGGACGCTGTCAGAAAGTTGAAGAGGAAGTTAGAAGGGAACGAACCAGCTGAGTCATCGAAGAAAATCAAGGTAGAATGGGAATACCTTTTTCATTATAAGTTTTTTTTTTCTAAGGAAGTAAAGATGATTGAAAGAAACAAACATGGAACTATAGTTCCCGCAACTAGTAAAACTAGGGATAGAAGTAAACATGGAGAAGTGAGTACAATTTTAATTAACCTGCAAGAATAACAAATTAAGGGATCGTCAAGAATGAACCGGGAATATGGCAAAAGTCAAGATTTGGAGGATATGATCCGAGAAGAGAAGACCGGAACGGCTTCAGATCAATTAATGCTCTTCGCTAACTCAGTCGTGGTACGTTCTTAAAATTTATGGAATTCCTTTTCACTTTTCTTCTCATCATAATTCAATTAATGGCGCCGTTTTCTTTTGGAATCGTTCTTTGATTTCCATTGCTTCACTTGTTTTTTTTCGGGAAAACAGCCTTATCATCTTCGTGGAATTTAAAATTCAGTGCTTAGAATTGTTTTCGAAAGTGCAAAATTTTTCTTGTGTTTTGTGCGAAAATTCCATTCTTTGATGTTACCTTATTCGCAGGCTATTTAATTGTCGTACAAATGTTTTTGAGAGAGTTAGAGTGATGTTGCCAACAATGGTTTGAAATATTTAGGTAACTCCACCTAATGATTTTCGATATTTTGTGGTCAAATGCGCACCGAGACTTTCGACATTGTTGATCAAAAATAACAACAGTGAAATCATTATTTATTGCCGCGCGGGAAAATAATGTGTTATGCGTGAAAGCTTAGCTTCATTGTCCTTGAACTTTGAGACGTTTCAAGATGGTTACGTCATCGGTTTGATAGCTCTGTTTTGTGGAGTAATTATAACAAAATGACTGCTTGTGGTTTTCTACGATTTCTCTGGAATGTGATGACGTTTTCGCTCAAAGCGCGTTTTGTCTTGCTTGTGACCGTTATTATCGATTCTTCCGATTAACGATATATCTGTTATACGGAAGAAGCGCTGGATTTCATCTATGATCAGTGAGAAACAAAAAAGAAGACAACCAGTGGGCCTAATTTTTGTGCTTTCCAATTTTCTATTCGCATTCCTAAACAAAGTGTTCTCTTTAAATTTAGTTTCTTGTTAAACATTGTGTATTAGTTATGCTTGCTCAATTAATCATTTATTGTAAAATATTCAGCATCACCGTTCAGTTGTAACCAATGTTTTTTTTGTAGAAAAGCGCCAAAATCCGACGGCATGACGATGAAAGTCTGGATGACATAGCAGAAATGCAAAAAGGAAGGAAGAAGGCTGATGAGAAAGAAGACAAAAGGAGGACAAAGGAGCAGAGAAAAGGTTAGACTCTTGAATTTTCGCTGATTATATCGATGATCATATTAATAACGCGGTAGTTTTATTCGTGCGCATGTTAATACTTCTCGGTTTCCCATTCCTAAGCGATTGTCGACCAGTTCTCAGAACAAAAAGACAATACAAACTCTATCAAGCGTATATTCCATCACAAACGTATGGAGGTCTTGATTGAATTCATGAATAATATTATCTAATAGTATTACCTCGAGATAACTCCATAGGGGGATGTATGCACAGGAGTTATTTAAGTATTTCTGATCTTCTGATTGGTAAGAATGTTTCCTGCCTTGAATTATTTGGGTCAACGACTGACTAACAGCATTTGGACTTGTCTTGTTTCTAAGGGAACTCCTTTGGTTTCTAATTGCCAACATTCTTTGAACCGTTTCTGCATTCCAAGCATTCCGTTGAACTTCTTCTTTGATGCTTTAGCTGTTTTGATCTTATGTTCACAACTGAGACTGTTTTGATCTAGTACGTACATCTGAAATAATGTAAAGGTTGATCAACGTCCACACATGTTCTGTCGTATCTTACATATGTGCAAAAGAAAAAACACGCTTGTTTAGTTGTGTAATGGATTTAAAAGACTAATTCAAAGTTCTCTGGATTAGACTTTTGTACATTTATTCTCGGAGCGATCGTAGTTACAATATTTGAAATTACGCCTGGCGAGAATTTAACTCAATAGATGACAATTTGGCTTTCAAGAAATACGAAATATTAAAGTTCGGCATCTATGGAGGTATGAACCCGCTAAGCACACAGATTGAGATCAAGATTGACATGTAAGCGACACAAATAGAATAAAATGACTAGGGACTGTGTGAAGGTCTACGAAATAGGAATGAATTAAAATAGACACCAAATGTGGCGAAGTAGAAATACTTATGCTGCTCTGAATCCAGAATTGAGATTCGTTGTTTTGGTTGATAGTTTCTTGAGAAGGGTTGACATTTCTTCCTTTCTCTCGCGCACATCGATTGGTTCTGAAAATCTCGACAATCATTTTGGAAGTATATTTGTGAACCTACGTTCAGAGATGCTTTCGTCAGTATCTTCGACGTCGTCTTCTTCTTTGCAGCGAATGTTCTCGTAATATGTGGCTTTACGGAAAGGTCGCATCAATCTTGGGTTATCGTGCTGAGTTTCTGAGAGTAATTCACAGAACCCTTTCTCTTGATAAGCAAATGGATGGAAATAATTGACAGCTTTGCAACGAGGCTTCTCAGCACATTTTCTTAAGCATTCCTCATGTTCGTTAACAGTCATTGTAGCCACCATAATTCCAAAGTAGACATATTCGGGTATAGCATCGGAACGCAGACCTTGAGGACACTCAGCAGCTAAAAGTGGCAAAACTTGAAAATGGTTGTTTGAGGTTAATTGATTGTTCATTTACGGTGTAACCGTATTAGATCGACAACAAGTATACAGAAAAACAAAACAGTTCTCATAATGATCCAGAAAAGTAAAGAGTTTCAATTTTCAAGTAAAATCACTTTAAATACTAACCAGTTTCATCATACGTTACATCGTAGAAAGCTGGGGATCTATCAGGGTTGAGATGTGCCCTCAGATCACCCCACCACTCAGTAGTGGCAGATGAAAGGGAAATTAAACAGAAATGGAAGAGGAAAGAAGTGATGACAGTAGCGGTAGCGGTCCACATGGCTGGAAGAATGTGTGGCGGAGACTGGAGAGAGCGCTCGGTTGTCGCCGCTTCATGACCCCGCCCATCCTACCGACGATTGCCTGCCGTCTCTTCTTCCACTCAGCAACCCGTCTAGAAGAGAAATAGAGAGAAACTTACAGGAAGAGAGAGAAAGAGATGGAGAGCTATTTTTGTAATGCTTATCAGATTGTTTTACGATTTGTCCGTCAAACTCTGAGAATTCTACCCATTTTTCTAGTAGATGATCATTTGAGGGTAATGATGTACAACCTTAATTAATAACAGAAGGAGGTGAAACATGACGCATACCTCAGATGCAAATTGAAACTGTGCGAACCATTTAACTGCATAGTTAGTACATTTTCGAGTGTTCGAAGCCCTAAATTCAGCCAAGGTTACTGACGAAAATCGCGATTTTTGATTCTTCCACTTATTCAATAGTCATTATAGTTTTTTGGTTTATCATTCCACGGATGACCGGCGATACCATTATTGTTTTACTTTTTGATGAGACAAGTGGTAGGCGATAAAATGGTCCACCTTATAAGAATAAGCTAACTGGTTCTGTTAACTTATGCGTTAATGCTTAGTTATCAAAGCATTTATTCATCGTGCTTTGATAATCGCATGCATTTTCCTGCTATATGTTTTCGAGTTTTTTTTCCCCAGGCAAGAGCTTCTCTTGATTTTCAAGTTCGCATGTGTTTTGCTGGGTCCTCCCGAACTTTCTACTTTTTTATACATATTTGATAACATATTTCTCTGGGAGGTTACTATTTTGGAACTATCTCTTTTGACATTGGCGATTGATACTGCTTGCGTCCGAATTCCTCTATCCATATCCATTTCCATGAAATTGACTTACGCAGTGACGCACTCTAATTTTACATTTCTGTTTCGAACTTTCTGTTTTTTATGCCCAATTACTGTCCTATCTGATCTCGCTCAATTTGCAAAGTTATTTTTTTTGTTCTGATATCATAATTGTTTACGTGATTCTCTCTAAAAATAAAACTTTACAGAACACAAGCGTTTGGAGAGATCTTTGGATGATTGTTCACGATGCACGGAGAGTGGGAAACTCGCAAAGCATGCAATCGTTGCTATGGGCATAAACGTGAGTTTTACGAAGCTACTCGACTCATCCTCTCGAATTTCTTCTCGATTTGGTCTCGACCAGTTTTACTGTTTTATGCTTTTTACTTTTTTATTTTTTTTTACTTTTTTTCTGAAGTTTTCTCCTTCAAAACTAGTATTTCGTAGTTGTTTAAGAATGTTGTGTACGCCACTTGATGAAATCAATTATAGTCTATCTTCCGACTATGCTCCTGAAAATATCTTGAAAACAGACACGTTGATAATGTTAACTACTGAATTTTACCTTTTTTTCAGACTTATCTCGCTGTTGTCGAATGGGATGGCTTAGAAGAACAACATTGTATAATTGCACCCACTCATCATGCCAGTTCTTCAATTCAATTAGATGAGGATGTATGGGATGAGATGCGAATATGGAGAAAAGGTGAATTCCCAATTATGTTTGTTATCAAGCTTGTTCTTTCAAGGTTTGGTTGCCATGTGGAAGGAACAGGGCAAAGACTGTATTTTCCTCGAAATGTCTCGAAATATTCAAGACAATCCACATGTTATGATCGAATGTATTCCATTATCCGAGGAAGAGGGTGACACGGCTCCTATTTATTTCAAGGTTTTTCATTTTTCTTTTTGAAAGTCTTGCTAACATACTGACGGGAACGATATACTAGCTGCCATTGCGATATGAGACTATCGAGAAGTTGTATCTCATCCCATATCGGAGCTATCACTTGGTTCCGACCAGCACTAGTTCGATTTCCACTTATAGAACGATAGTCGAAAATGTTGATTGAGAAGTATGAAGTAATTAACTAGTCTGATCTATGTAATTTCCCATGTCCATCGAATGGGATATAATTTTAACATTTGAATCAAACGTCAAAGATTAATGAGAAAATCAACATTCTTTGTTTTCTTACACATGCTAACTGCTTTCTAATCTGAAAATTATTTTCTCAGGCCTAGAACTGTTCAAATTGACTAATGTAGCCACGCCTAAGTGCTGGAATTCCAGAATTCCTTGGGTGGTTGGATGTGGTAATCGTTTAACGCACAAGCACCCCTAATAGATTTGTTGAGATTCTGCTTCTTTTGAACGAAGTACGCGCAGTACTTCAGATGTAACGGTGTCTGTAGAAAACAAAAGTCTACGATTCCTTTATTAGTCTGGGGATCAGCCTCTCTTTTCTCTAAAAACAGTTATGAGCAGTGCCAATATAGGTGCATAACTAATTGTCCGGTCCACTTGTTTGTTTGTTCCGATTTCTCTGTGGAATGCGGTACATGAACTGGGTTTGCGCGCTCGTACGCTGGCGCCCCTTAGTCTACCCGGTCTCTCTCATTTATCTTCAGCCAATTATTGAACAATTTAATCAGGGAAATGTTCTATTTGTAAAGTTTTCGAAATGCTTGGTAGCCTTTCCCGAAGTTTTCTTCTTTAGCCGTTTAGGGATTTTGGGACTGTAATATTACTGTTTTCAGAAAGCCATCAATGAATGTGAAGGAGAATATGTCGATAACAAGAAGCTCATCCAAATTAAAGACATAAGGAGGCAAATACCTAAGGGGTTCAGGTATCTTGTCTTAGTGAATCAGAACACCCCAATCTTATGATTACAGTTATATGGCTGTTGATTTCGGGTTGTCAAATGGATACGCACATGTGATCGAAGATGCTGAGCAATTTCCTTCGACCTTTGCACACGTAAGTTTTTTCTTGTCACCCTATTAAATTGTTATGGCGTTTAACCTCTACTAACTTTTTCACTTTTTTCTTTTTTTTCACGTGACGCATAATGTCAGGGGCGTGTATTTGGAAAACTTTTGATTAATTACATAAACACCTCTTGTCAAAAAGTTCGTTCAGATGGAAAAGATATGTTGATAAAAACCTGGTCCAACGACTTCGTTCTAAAGTTACTTAATTCAGGAAATTATTGCCGGAATGCTGGATCTTCCTCCCAACAAATGGAGAAAAAAAGAGAAGCAATCATTCACCGATGTGAAGAATAAGTGTGATGCCATGAAATTATCATGGGAACCATATGATTGGACAAAAAAAATTCAAAGGTAGTGTATGTGTAAATAATTCCGAAAGAAAGAAGGGTCATTATTACATTCATAATAAATGTTTATTAGCACCTTCAATCACGATCTTGACTAGATGTTTTTTGAACAATCAGAAAATATATTTGACATTGTATTATTTTATATTGAAGACGAACAGAACGGTTGATTTGAATATTACCTCATCGAAATGAGCAATATGAAACGCATATATTATTTCAAGAACCAAATTAGGATGAGCATTATATTGCTCATAGCTTTTGAAACGTATCATTATTGCTTAGTTCGATTTATTGACTTGATTCAGAGATGATGTAAAACGCCCTGTCGAGATTGACCTGCACTAAAATCTGTTTGATGCGCGCTCCAATGCGAAATTTTGTCTTTATGTAAAGGACTGAAAGATGGGGTTACCATGTCCCAACACGATTTACCGTAATGTTTTGGCACGCCTTTCTTTTTTGGCAGGCCTACCAGCTTAATTATTTTGAACATGAGCGATAACTGGGGTTGTGGATCTGATATTTTTGGATCGACAAAAACCCTTAGTGAGCTTGTGGACGGCCTATCATCGAAGAAAACAGAGGTTAGTTAACTGTGTTTAGTGGTTTAGCTGTTAAATAGGTGTTTTAGATTACGGAAATAGATACCTTTCCGTTAGCCCCATCTCAAGCAGATAATATTGGAGTAAAAGTCGTGCCTTTCGTGATGTCTTCTAAAAGTACTGCCCCCAAAATTTTGAAGAAGAAGAGCACCATTAATAAGGCTAATAAAGAGCCTAACTTGAAGAGAGTCACGTTCGAAGTACGTACCTTTTTCATAAAATCACTTCTAATTTATTGTTTTTAGGTTGAAAAGCTCTTGGCTCGTGAAGCAGGTGACAAGGAACAAATTCGGGAAAGGCTTGTGGTATGCTTATCTTAAAAGTTTTGTTTTTTATTTGTTCGTTACAGTTATCATTAGGAGGAATAGCTCAAAAATCTAAGCCGGTCAATTATAAAAAGTTCCGAGAGCAACGAATCTTGGAGAAGTCAGCGAAAAGGGCTGAAGCTTTAGTTATACATCAGCTTCCAAATCAAGTCATCCACAAAAAGAAGCCAAAAAAAAAGTAATCTCAAACCTTGTGCCTTTCTGATGTTTTCTTGTCACGCTGGCGTGTTAGTAAACAGGGAATTGAATTCCTTCGTTTCGATTTGTACAGTTACACACTAATGGTTAATAAATTTTTTTTCAATATTGTTCTATCAGTTTGTGTACGGTGGTTGGCCGTTATTACCTTCGTTCATTTTGAATATGATTAGTAGAAGCTGTACTTTTAGAATGCCTGGTTCTCGTTCTGTTAGCAGATCTCGTAGTCCTTCCGTGCGTAAGGTATGTATCTTTTTTTTTGGTTTGCGATAGTTGTGCGTGCGTACTTGGCCCTTACTGACAATGCACACGATATACATATCAGATATGATTGATAATCGGATCAAGAACAAGACTATTATTTCAACAAGAAAGAACAAGAAAGAAAATGGAGAAGATTTTGACAGAAGATCTAAATATAGAGAAGATTTTTGAGAAGTACAAGAATGTTGGATTGTTCAAGATAACTTAGTGAGACGGTGAGTGGCGCCTCGCCACATTAGACGTCCTCGTAGTCGGGGATTTAGGGAAAGATGTTTTAAACCTTTCGAGAATTTATGTAACTGTTCTAGGGCCACAACTCAGTATCACGTTCCCCCCGTTCTCGTTCTCGTTCTCATTCCCAATCGCGCTCACCTTTTGCTTCGCCTAGAAGAGACAGGTCACGTTCACGATCCCGTTCAGCCAGCAGGACTCCGTAAGAATTTTATTCATGTTGTATAATAAAGTATAAATAAACATTATAGCCCTAGAAGAAATCGTAGAAGCCGATCGCGCTCTCCCCGTGGTTACCGTGGTGGCGGCGGCTCACGCAGAGGTGGGGCATGGACCAACAATAGAAATAGAGAAAACCCAGATCCCAATAAGTAAGCTTTCTTCTTGAACTTATTGAAACGCCTATGTCATTGCAGCTGTGTTGGAGTTTTCAACCTAAGTGTATATACTACTGTGAAAGATCTTCGTGAAGTTTTTGGAAGATATGGTGAAATCGAAAAGGTATGGTCTTATTTTGAACAATATAGGATCGAAAGGTTTCAGTGCGAATTGGTTTATGATCATCCTACTGGCCGATCCCGAGGATTTGGTTTTATTTACTTCCAAAGATTAGAAGATGCAACCGCAGCAAGAGATGAAATGAATGGCTCCGAAGTTGATGGTCAAAAGGTATTTTCTTTATCATTTCATGTGTACGTTCCTGTTCTCTTTATAGATTCGAGTAGACTACTCGATTACGCGAAGGGCCCATACACCAACTCCTGGACAATACATGGGCAGTTCACGTGGACGAAGAAGAGACTACTCGGACGGTCATAGGTAATTTATTATTTTTCTCTACTGAAAGAGATCGAATCGTTTTAGTCGGGGCAAGAGAGAGTTCAGAGAATCTCACGGTAGACGAAGAAGTCCATCTCCAAGAAGAGGGTAAGAGTTCACTTTTCCTTTTCTGTTACAATTAAGATTTTCCAGTCGACGATCACCATCCCCAAGATACGACCGCAGAAGAAGTCGCTCTCGATCTTACTAATTCCTCATATCTTGAGTGTTTTGTTTTTTTGTACTTTTGTTACTCTGTTACTCATCTATTCCGTGTTAATGATGTAGTTCGAATGGTCTCAATGAACCGCGTGTTGCTTTATCCTCTCAGAAAACAACAAACTTGTAAGATCGCAACATGGTTAATTTCGATAAACTCTACCCATTGAAACGCTCTTGATGGGAAAGTCTCGGTATAACTTATTGACAATCAAAAGTGACTTGTTTTTGCTTTTGTAAGATAAATTGGATATATTCCAATTCCCTTTACACTAGAATTAGAAGATAAGGGTGTGTGTGAAATCTTATTCAATGATATTCTCATTAGAATCGCGCTCAGTACTTCCAAACTTCCCTTTGGCGGCGGAGTATCTCGGTGAACCAAAGTGTACCGTGTATAGTTCATGTGTCCTCTACCGAAAGGATGAAAGGATTGGTTTTCTTTTGAAGCCGCTAAATCCTGTCTAAATCACTTTGCCATCAGTTAGCCGCACAATCATTACATCAAACGCTGTCATCAATCGTTTCATAAGATTTGTGAAGGTTAAGAATATTTTTAGAAGCTGTCTGGTGGTTTCTTATGACTTCGTTACATCCAGGTTCAGTATTCCCCTTTTGCAACAGACTTTTTGTTCCCTGGAGAGAATCGAGGTGGATCGCCTAGATTGGAGAAGTGAAACCTTCTACCTTTCGGAATGATAAGACGCTTCAACTCAGCAGATTTCACGTATCGAACAAAGAACGAAAGTTCTGTGGGGGAGAAAGTTAGCTTCGTTCGTTTCTCTTCAAAACAATGGGCCCAGCAACTGTATGGTGATGTTAAAGTCGTAAATGGTAGTTTAATGTTGAAAAATTATTTACGTCAACACTTCCATTGTACCCCAACCCATTTCTTAGACCTTGCGGGGTTCACAAATCAATTTTCTTATTTCAATTTTTATTTTTTTTGCATTTTACTGCTCTTTACATTGATACAATTGATATGAACATACTATAAGTTGGGAATTGAACGACAAAACGAAGTTTGACGTTTAATGTTGATCACAGGTCAAGGAAAACTAAATAACGTTAATTATTGTTAAATATAATAATATATTGATATGTATACATTTATATTAATTCATAAGTTGAGAACGTTCTGTGTTGAAAAGACAAGCTGGTTCATTTATGCTGAAATCTTCTTCAGAGAGTTTATTCCACCGGATTTTCTGATTTCTTCCATTAGGCTACCTACTAAATCAGATGCAACGGGAGATTTTTTGTCAACCTGAATTAGATGTAGTTTAATATTAAAAAAAGTTCTGTGGTCATACTGGACTTGTTTTCTTAAGTTTCCCCTTCTGATTTATTAAGTCTTGTGAATTGATTAATGGTGCACCAGCAGTAGGAGATGGTGGAACGTTGGCTATGCTAGGAGTCGATTTTTTTATAACTGGCGCACTGAAATATCAAATTGAGCTTTCTCTGATAAGTTTTCGCTGTAGGATGATATTGGACACAATCGCGTAGAACGCGCTGTGACGTGTTTTATTTTTTGTTCTATGACGCTGGTGAGCGGTTGTTCCTATCTATCTCTCGTAACATTTCTTTTATCAGTCAAGTTCTATTAAGTTTACTCTTCTATAAATTATTCGAATGATCACCTCTCAGATCGCATGAAGTTCATAGGTGGCGGCGGAGGAGGTGGTGGAGGTGAAGTTGGGGATGTTGTAGAATTCGATAAAAGTGGTGGTGGTGGTGGTGGAGCGTTCGGAATTTTCGGAGCAGAAGGAGTTGAGGGAGCGCTCTTCGACGTTGATGGTGGCTATAATAAATTATTGGTCAGAAACTTGAGTAAATTTTCTTACCGAATCAAGAACTCTTCCTAAAGCTATTCCATTCTTTTCCTTTGGTGGTCCAACACTTCGTAAGGTTGGGAAATTGTGTTCAAGCTCGGCTTCTACTGTTGTAGGAGTCGATTGAGTACTTTTCTTCTTAAGATTTTCTGTTAACTCTTTTTTGAGAACTGTAGGTTCCATTTTTTTGAATTCCTTTAATGGCTTCTTGGGCAACTCAGCCTCGTTCGAAGTGATAGTAGTTTTTTTCAGGACTACGTTATCAAACGGGTCTTCTTCTGACGAGACCGACATGGTCTTCCGCATAGTTTTGTTGGGTGTGGTAACTATGTTATTATTATTCTTGTAATGGTGATTGGAAAAGTTTGGTGTGTTACGTGAAGTTGGCATTATAACTTTAGAAGTTTTTTCATGATCACCGCCAATCTGAATGGTCGTGCTGGCCGCACTTGTCCGAACCACATCAACACTTTTGATTTCAACTTTTTTATCTGCCGAAGTATATCGCTTATGTAAGGGCACGGCTGGTGGTGTTTCTATTTTCATGGTTTTTTGGATATTTACCATGTTCGGCGAGTTTGACGAAGTGGGAGAGTCGAAATATTTCGTTGGCGGGGATGTTACGACTGGACTGGGTTGGTTTTTGAAAACGAACGTCGTTGGTCGCTTCGGATCGGTCACACGAGGCGAAGGCAATATCGGGGAGTTGTGGGGAAGTCTCGGGCTGTTCGTTTTGTTCGATGGAATCTTCGGTCTTTCTTCAATTGTTGAGCTGTTAACAACAATCTGGCTGCTTCTCTTTGACATTGGAGGCACAGGAGTCAATGGAATAGGAGGAGGAGTTGGAGAAGTTGCTGCCGATTTCATTATTGGAGATTGTAGTTCCATTGGAGACCTGTATACATGGTATTTGGGTTTAGTGTTGACATTCTCTCTTTTCATGGTAGGAGACGTGACAGCTGATGGTGGTGGAGCTCTTGGAGAGGGTGGAGATATTTTTGCGTTTTCTTTGGTTTTTATATCCGAGGCTTCAGCCTTTGGGTTTGAATAAGGAATAACTGGAGAAGGAGTAGAAAGTCTCTTGAGCTCTTTCTCTTTCCTAATGAAGTCTTCAGCTTCCTACAAAAAAAAGTTTGGAATTGTTGATGTTTTTAATTCGTTACCTCCTTTATGCGGATCATAGCTCTAGTTTTCTCATCTTCCTCAGTTCGGACTGGTTTGCTGTGGCGAATATAATTTGAGTTAATGTCTGTTGTTGGTGTTTTGGCAACAGGGGATCTATAAGGCAGCTTTGGAGAGTTTCCTTTAACAACACCCGAATCAGCACTGTCTTCAGAAGCAGTAGGGGATATTGAAGAAGATTTCGGTGTTACAGGTCTACAAAATCAATTATTCTAAATTTTTCCGGATAGAATACCTTGATGTTCCAGGAGAAGACACTGGTGAAGATTTAAAGGAATTGATGCTTTGTTGACTGGCAACAATGGAAAGAGGGCTTCGGACAGGAGTTACTCTGCAATTAACTTTTTATTGACTGTCCTTAAGTTCAATAAAAAACAACCTAGGTTGGAAAGTGTCAGCAGCTAATGATGGTCTTTTCTTCTTCTCCACTCCTTTCAAAGACATTGTGTCACTCCAGTACAATCCACTGTCTCTAACCAGGTTCATAACTTCATCGTGATCGCGATATAGCTCATTCTGAACATCTCTTCTAATCTCAGACAAAAACATTTTTATCAAACCTGAAGTCTTTTAACTTCGACAGTCTCTCCGTAAATTGATTTTAGATCTTTCCACTTGGTGAATTTACTTTCTAAGGCTTCATACTTTTTCTGTAGTATTTCTTCTTTTTTGGTTAAAGAAGGAACTGGTCTGGATGAAGGGCTGTTTTTCGGCCGTTCCGTCGAAGCTTTAGGAATGAACTCTTTTTTCTCTGTTCTCGGAAGCTCAGTGTTTATTGTGAGTGGTTTCACTGTCTTTCCAGGCTTCGATGATTCTAGTGTTGGGGATTCAACTGGTGGCGGAGGTGGAGGTGTTGCTGGTGGTGGAGGAGCTTAAAATAAAATTGAAACTGAACTATTATTGTATCTAACCTAGTCGTTTCTTCGAGCTTGGAAGAGCAGGACTTGAAGGTTGAAAAACTGATGGAGGTAGAGGAGCTCTCTGCTTTGGTCTGCCATCATATCTTGTGACGGAAATAGATTTTAATCTATAAAAACACTCTTGTCTATGTGGATTAGATAAAGCTTACTTGTAATCGTCATTCAGCTGAATGTTTGACTGCCGCTCAATATGAGGGACGTCCGTTATAGGCTCTGGCGATAACGCTGATGAGGAACGTGTTGTTCCATGAGGCGAATAGTGAATAACACCAGCTTGAATCATGCTGGATGAAGAGTTATGTGAGGAGTTAGAGCAGCTGGTAGATGATCGACCTCTAGCCTAAAGAGGGATAGTTTAAACTATTTGGTTAGCGCAGCCTAAAGGCTTTTTGTGACATGGCATTGTTATGAATCGTTTAGTAAATCCAATCTCTATTTTCAGAAAAATCAAAAATTCAAACTTATTAAGAAGAAAATACAAAAGATAAAAGTGAAAAAAGGAAAAGAAAGCCAAAACAGTCGTGCTATGGATCGATTGATTGTGCTAGCCACTAACAAATCGTTGACGGGTGGAAAGCTGACAAACCGATCTCCGTTGCTGTCAACGGAAATCGGCTCGAGCTTTCAATATCCGATAAGAAGCAATACTTTACCTCTTCAGCTCCTTCCTCTAACTGCCATAGTTCCTCCGTATTCAAATCTCTCTTCAACAAGTCATTGTCGGACAGAATGTTTTTTCTTTTTTTTGGTGACTCTTTTATTTGTGAAATTGTCGAACTTGCCATTCTGGTCTTGTCATTCGGTTTCACATCCACAGCTGGAACAGAGGGTAAGATGAGTTGTGGGCAGTGTTCGTTACCTCGTTCTTCATAAGCATCTACGGGTATCGAAGATTTTGGCGGAGCTGGAGCAGGATTAAATTTTTTATTGGAACTGTCTGCTGTTTTGCTTCTAGCTTTTTTTGATTTGACAGGCTTAGCAATATCAGTGGATTGTGGAGCTAGTAGATGAATATCGTTAGCTTCAGCCTGCTTCGAGGAAATGCTCGATTTGTAGTTGGTCGGAGTAGATGGTACAATACGATTGATTTCAGCAAAACTGAAAAATGATGATATGAAGAAAATAGCAGAATATGAGAATATATTTGAGTGAAAAGATTAGTTGAGAGAGTGTGTTATCAAACAGTCGAGCATAAATTGCTTCATAATGGTGAGAAGAGTTGATTATGCACTACTTGAGGCTGAGAATATCACCGAACACTATTGCTGAGACAATGTATATTGAGTCGTATGCCTCCAATAGACTAGAACTTAAAGATAATAAGACAAAAGAATATAATTATTGAGAGAAGTGAAGGTTTGTGAGATGGTTGAGTGATGGGAGAAGAAGCTGAATGACATTATGTTTTCTTTTTTGTATTTTCAATTCATTGTAAGCAGATCAAGAATCATGGAACGGTATGTTTGTTAACCGCTGAATGTCTCATCTCAAGTACTATATGTTCCATCTGAAGTCGCCTAAGATATCTGTGAATGTTAGAAATGACTTTCGCTTTATGTATGCTGGCAAGTCGTATGATATTTACCTTTAAGAGTAAAACTGTCGGAAGGTTCGGTGTGAACTCAAACAGACTATATACGCCAAATATTCACAGATTCTGATATGATTGTTCACATACTGTGAATGATCAAGGAGTTCTTTGTCTTCAACGACTTCTACATCATCTTCTTCCTCTTCTTCTTCTACTCCCACTAGTCATTCTTCAATTCTATTGGAATGAGTTCAAAAATTGTAATTTCATATCAATTAGCTTTATTAAGGAATTACTACTTCCACCACACATCTCAGTCTCTCCTGCACTCACTCTCTATAGTGTCACCTTCGACCATTACCCTTCCCTCTCATTAGCAGAGATCACCTTTGAAGAATACGACAAAAAAGGGCATTTTTGATAAAAGTGCAACTTGCGTGATCTGCGTGAGAATGTAACCTTCATTTCATTTATTCTCTCGTTAAATGGCCATGTTTACGAAAAAAATCGAACAAAAGAATCAACGAGTGATGACATGTGTGAATGAACAGAGAGGGAAGGGACTAAAGCTGAAATCAAAAGAAAAAGTAAATTGACGAAAAGCTGAAATTGACGTTATGGAGTGACGAGAAAGCTGACCAGAATTACCTTAACGTAGATGGGTGAGACTCAGATGTAACTTGAAGCCTTCGAATGGTCATCAACTGTCAATTTCTTCAGTGTTTAGCAAACATACAAAACGAGCCCCCCCCCTACACACATCACACACACATATACACACTTGCTGCTTCATAACAAAAAACCATAAGAATACCTTATGTGTTGGAACGTTAGTCTCTTTTTGATTTTTGATTTCGAAAAAAAAATTCAAAAAAAAAAAAGAAGATGATGAAGAGACAGAGAGTGAGAGAAGGAAGAAATTTCTTGCTGTGAAGTGAGTTCTCAATGGTAATTGACATTCGTTGGAATGAATATATTTTAAAAAACCATTTTTTTCTTCATTCAATGGGTCAACATTGAATTTGAGTAGAAATAGATGAGGTGAGTGACGGTCACTCTCTTCATCTCTCCCTAACTCTCTCTCTCTTTCCCTTTCGAAGTTCAATGTTGTAAAAGCAAAAACAGTAATTTGCATTTGGCGCAGAAGAAAAATGAAAATGAAAAGAAGTTTTAACTATATGTATATATTATATATACCATAGTATAGCATAAATAATTTTATACCATATACGGTTAAACCTGTTCCAAGTGATTTCATTAGATTTCATAGTTTCATATCCGCTTTAGCTTTCGCTTAGTTAGTATGCCTGTCTCTCTCACTGCCTCTCTCTCTCTCTCTCACTGTCTCTCTCTCCCTCTTTCTGTTTTTTTTTTTCATTTTTTTGTTGTGAAAAGCCTCAATGAAAAGGAAATTAAATAGCCTTTTATAGCAAAATCCACAACGTATCCGACAGTTTGTTGGAAAACTGACAGAGATGGCGACACAGTGACGGTCTCATCAAGCTTTTCGATAAGATTGCCCCCCAAATGAAGAAATGGAAAGTTGAGAGCTAGCAAATGCAAAGCGGAAAAAGTCAAAGAACAAGCAAGATATATGTGATATTATATATTGTATATGATATAGTTATGACATACCTATCATTAACTATGCTTGCATTATCTTCATTCAATTTCGATCCATTGTCCGAGGTAATGGTGGCCGATGATGTTTCCTTAGATTTCTGCAAAAATGAAATGAAAGTTTCTCATATATTTCATATTTGTACAGCAATATATATTTAAAATCTTCCATTTTTCCGTTTTTTTTCCTCTTCTGGCGAAGAAGGTTTTTACTTCTTTTCATGCGTTCTGATTGAGATGATACGAAAACTCAAACAGTCCTTGTGAGCGCTTTTTATAAGTTAACTTTCAAAGAGGCATAGGAAGAAGCTTATTTGAAATATATCACATACAGCCAAACCTGCATATTGCAAAGAGGTAGTATGGAAAGTTAATTCAATAGAGAGCAGATAGTTTGAGAGAGAAAGAGAGGCAGAGACGAAAAGAACGGATGGAAGCATTGACCATATATGGAAAAGAGAACTCACCGATCGACGAAATATGGAGAAAATACCATTTTTCTTTTTAGACATGTTTTTTTCTGTAATTATCACAAATCAATAAATGTATGATTGGAGGTCAAAAGTATATTTGGCAGTCGGAAACATTGAAAAGAGAAGCAGACATGAGAGCGTGGAAAAGCTGATAAGAACAGATGGCTTCATAAAGACGAAAGAGTATCATGGTAATCGTTCAGCTTTAACATTACATTTCAAATATCATAATAGAGAGATAGAGAGAGAAATTAGGAGAGTGAAGATAGTAAGATCCATATAAAGTATGGCTAATCAATCAATAAGTAATTTCAATCAATCTCATACAAGGAATGAAGTGAAGAGTATGAGAGAGGGTGGTCTGATGAGTAGTATGGTGTTATTTTGCAAATTATATCATATAATTTATAATAAATGATAAAGATATGATAGCATATACAGTTCAACATGTTATTTAATGAAATGAGATAAGTGTTGGATGTTGAAAAAAATAAAATAAAATTTTATATTAAAAAGATGTTTGTTTGCTTAAGAAGAGGAACACACACACACACAGACATAGCCACACATAAGAAAGAGAAGAAAAAAAAGTACTGCCATTGATAGGAAGATGCTCTGTGTGTGTATCTTCCATATAAGGTGATGAGAGTCTCAAGAGGGAGGGCGAAAGGAGGGTAGAGGTGAGAATGAATATCACTCAACTATCTCAATCAATATCACCAAAATTGTCTTAGATGTTACAAGTTGTCTTGACCTCCAACTTGCTTAGAAAATAACAATTGATGAGATGAGCTCAACAGGCAAGCGTCGCCTTCTCACTTCTCATTGACTGTCAGAAGACATTCGTGTCATGAAGTTGCAAGTCGCGCACACTCACTCATACAAGCAACAACATAACATCCAATCATTACATATTCTAATTGTAATTATTTGAAAAATGTAGCTACAAGATTCATGTCAACTATAACAATTTTTAATCAGAGAAAACGAATTAAAATGATAACGACTGGAAAAGAGGAAATGAGAGAATCTGGGTTGGTGGTGGTGGCAGTAAGGGCGGCAGCTAAGAAGCTCAGATTGATATAGAGGGTCACACATGTCACAATATATGTTTGATTATTCTATAAGGGAGTGGTAACCGTCAACTTTATAATAAAAATATTCACATACACTTCTTAACTATATATATTTATATATAAATATATATAATAGTTAATAGTTGATAATGATGATAGCGGTGGCCGGTGAGAATGCATATAAGACATGATCATGCATGTAGGCTGGGACTAGTATAATGAAAATACATTTTCCATGATTAAAACGCAAATCAAATGATTCTTATAGCAAACGTTTTTATTTTCATTTTCCTCTTTTACTCTCTTTTTTTGCTTCTTTTTTTGATTGTTGTTCCCATGGTTGACGACTTCGGATATGTTTATGACTGACTGAATTCTTCTTTAGCATGTGGTCAGCCGTTCATACAACTGGATAAATCAGAGGAATATCCACTTATTAATGGCTCCGACGACGTAAGGCAGAAGCATGACAATGACAAATCATTTTTAGACATTGTACAAGAAATATTATTATAGAACATTGTCATTAAAGAATCCGATTAAGATGCCTTTTTTTTGTGTTGTATTCAAGACATATCAAGTTGAAAAGCTGGTCAATGGAGGGAGGTATGATGGGTGGAACGTGAAGAGACAGATTTAAATTTAAACTTGATTGTTACTATACAGTTCATGTTGCAAATGTATCTTATGAAGATAAGAAATTTCAGATAAATCACTAATTACCATGTGAGCATGTGTATGTATGCGTGAGTGTGTTGTGTGAGTGTGTGTGTGTGTGTGTATATGATTAACTATAGGTAATAAGGTGAATGGCATAAGTAACCAGATAATATCAAAGACAATAATGTGACAGTTGAGATGAATACCTTATATTACTATAAGAAAAATGAAATAATCAAGCTGAGGTCAAAAAGTTGTTGTAAAATGCTTTTATGACCATCATAGCTCAGCAGGATATCGAGGGTAAGAGGTATAGATGGAAAGAAAAATTGAACCATCACATTATGGTATTAAAATGGAGAAAAGAAAAATAATAGTATGAAGAAGATATTCAGAATATAACAATAGATTGATGATGGACGAGATTGAAAAATAGTTTTGGTGAATACAAGGGACAAATCATACGTTGTAGTAACTGTTTGTAGATTTACTAACCAAATGAACAAGTATAAGACGATTTATACAAATATAGAGAAATATGCATGTATATACATATATATATATATATATATATATATTTATGTGACGCTCATCATGGAAGCTAAAGCATCGAAGGATGTATTGAGAGTGAATTGTTACATCGCTTCTAAGATGACCGTCACATCCTCAACAAGAAAGTCTTCATTCTCTTCGAACCTGTTGACTTTGCGTGTCGGCATACTATTCTTCTTCTTATTCACTTCGTCTAAAACGATGTATTCTCTTTTTCAGCTTCTCTTCTTCAACTTCGCTTCACCCTCACTCTGTTCCCTGAGCTTCTCGCCATCAATTCATGAAGATTGTTTGATTTTGTTTTTAATTAATTGTTTTCTTTCAACTCAAACAGATATACACATACACATACACATGCATACCATACCATCCCATGTGTTTCTTCAATTTATTGCTCATCACTTCATATACTTACAAGCTATAAGATTATATGACGAACTGACACATTTTTGAAATTCATATTTCGCGCGTCATTAGATTACGTCATGTTTTATGAAATTTTTTTTTTGGTCATTTAGCGTTGGCAATGACGCATGGAACGGTTGGTATTGCACGAAAGGTAAGTCAATCGTTGAGTATTATTGATTGTTTCTTTTGCCTTACTCCTTCAGATTTAAATCGTGACGATATTAGAGAATATATTTTTTTAGGTGCATAGAAGGAGAGTTGTAATTTGAATGAATCAACAGCGAACACAAAAAACTTCTGTCTTCATCATCGTTAGAACGGAAGGGTCAGTTGTGAATGAACGTTAAACAAGAGTCCGTAGTGCGCATCATCAGATGTGAAAAACAAACAATGAAAAAAGAAAAAAGAAAAAAAGTGAAGCAAAAAAAAAACAAAACAAATAAAGTGTGATTTTATTGCAGTCGTGCAACAGCTTGAATACTTTGAATATCAATGAATGATGTATTTTATGAGCAATTGATAGAGTTCGGTATGGAAGTTCAAAATGTTGAAATAAAAGTTCAGTGAAAGGAGGTAAATATGCCGAAGGTAACAAAATTGGAACAAAGAAATCAAGTCGAGATTCGATGTAATAGTATGTGTGTTGAGAAACGATTTGCTTAAATGGGACAATACGAATGAGGGAGACGACGATACATGGACAGCAAGATTTTGACAACGTTTCAGCATTGTCTATGATGTTAGCGTGGTAACTGCTAGCTAAAAGAGTTCAAGTTCTTTATTAGCTGTCTCCGCTATCGTTTATCTAGAAATTGTTGTTGGAAGGGTTATTCATTGTGAAGGAGGAGAAATGACGAAAGGAGAAGAGGGAAGAAAAAAAAATGAGGAGGCAACGCTTAATGAATAAAGTATGTGGGAGCTTTAAACGGACGACAGAAAGTTGATAATCAAGATATTTTCTGAACAAGACAAGGGTCAGTGACGACGAAATTTGTCTATTTTCGTTCAATTGATGAGTCTCAAACAGTGATGAAACGGGATCTGCTTGTCGCTTTTCTTCACTACCTCATCCTTATATGAAAGTTGTCTGGCTTTTTGTGCGTATCGCTGTTGAGCGGCCATCTTCAACGATTTGACATTTTCATTTTCTTTTCTTCTAGCATGTTCGTTAAAAAAGGACTTCTCTATATATATATATCTATGGCTGTAAGACTGTAAATGGGCTAAAAAGCGGATGATTGAGGTGGATGGTGAATGTTAGGCGATTAAATTTCTTTTCGAGACTAATTCGAAATAGCAATGAACACTTGCAATGATATGACCATTCAGTAAGAATGACTGGGATGAAGAAATCAAAGAAAATTTTCAAAAATCTTTGATTGTGAAATGACTTGTAATTGAAGAATTTTTTCTATTTTTTACTCTCTCAAATTAATAATTAAATGTAATAATAATGGAAAATAGTTTCAGAGCGTAAATTAATAATTGATATTATATGAATACGATAAGAAATATTTGAAGATAAGAATGATCTGTTGGATGATAACCTGAGTGTAAACAAAGCTCAAAATCTTCACAAATAGAAGGAGGGCATACACGTTTCCTCACTTTTCGATGACCTTTTATGTGATAAATACTCGCTGACAACCAAAAAATAGAATGAAACTAATGAAATACAAAAGTATTTTTGCGATTAAAATTTTAATTGAAAATTAAATGATAGAGGGCATCTCAGCTTCAATACTGATTTGAATTTCGAATTACTTAACCATCCTCAAGCATCTCAACGGTATGGAGAAATGAATGAAAGGTAGAAGAAGCTGAGGGAGACGGAAAAGGAACCAACCGCTCTTCCAAAATAAAAAACAACGAAATGAACATGCATGTATGGTCGAGTACAGGTTCACGTGTATGATGTGCTCTAATCGCAAATCTCCTTCGTTTGCTTAGACTTACACATGTTCTTTTCTTTTATTCTTTCATTATTTATTTGTTTTTTTTCTTTTTTTTCTTACCGTTTTGTCGCCTCAAACGTTAATCTTCCAACCTTTGAACAGTAGATTGTTGACAGAAAAAGCTAATTGTAGAAGGATATTTCGTTGTTAGAAAGCTAAAGAACAGCGTTCTAGTCCGCTTTAGTTCATTTCATGTTCCTTGTCATCTTGCAAGCTAGACAACTGTCATGGGAAGTACTTATCTGTTGTTCCATATGATCTAAGGGCATCTATGCTAATCATTTTCATGTAAACATCCATGATTAAAATTATTTTTCATTTTGCATAGCGTGTGTGTGTGTGTGTGTGTGTTGGTCGTTTGCCTTCTCTAGGAGTTTGCTGTTCAGTT